TTAAAAGGGACACTAAATCGAAACACTTAACGGGTTTAGATTGACAAAGTGAACTTTGAGTACTTGAATGATAATTTCAATCTCACAAGTTTATTAGTAGAGGAGAAATCCAAGGGCGAAGCTCCATTTTCCAATTGCATGCCGAAATCTGCGCGTGACGCCACGGATTTCAAAATATACTCGTCTTATTTTGGTGCCAGCTCCGAGAAATCTCTTGAAAACCAGCATGTACATTCTAAAGACCCCTAGGTCAGAGGTCGGTGTACTCCTCCATGTTTACAGATTAGGAAGTACGTAGGCCCCAGTAAACGCCGTCAAAGTCTATGACGTCATAGCGTTTTGTGCAAGAATTTTATAATGGCGTCGCCACCTGCATTTCATTTTTGCACGTTTCCTTGCTTACCAAGCACCTTCTCGCAGTAAGCTGAGGCGATTACGGAATCGTGAAAGAGTAAACGAAAATTTTTCTTTCTAGCTTCCCTTCTATGTAAGCATCACATTGCAGCTACGCCAAAAACACTAAGTTCAGTACGAATTTCTGCACACAGACTAAAGGCGTAGACTAAGACTGGTTACTGCCTAGCAGTCAGCACCACAATGCGTCGTTCTTCAATGCAGGTGTGTTTAGATGACAGCACTGTATTAATATGCAAGTTATGAAAGGAGTTCCTATCAGATTTGTATAGTTGTGAACCAGTGTTACCTTTACGTCCGTTCAAAGCAACACGTGCGTAAGCTAAGGCTACTTTTTGTTTAATTTTTGGTCTATACACCGAGCTATAAAAAAACTGAGCAATAAAATTTGATAGGCACACGCCCGTGATATCCACAGATGTTATTGGGCTTGGATAATATTTTCCTTTTCAGGTAATTTTGATTTTGTGAAGCAAGGGCGCATTTTTTTCTTCCTTTTTTACATTCATGTCACGAAATGGAATGTACGTTCTATGTCAGAAATATTGCGAATGTTGACTTTCTGTGCTCAGGTTGGCCCGTTGCCAGAAATGTTTCCAAAGGGTGGGGGGAGGCATTTGTCACAGGCCCCTTTATAACACCCATTTTCATTTACTTATTTTCATTATTTATTTTCGGTGAAACACCCACTTCATTTTAATTTCAGGGGGGGGGGGTAGGGCACCCCTTTGGCTACGGACCTGGTTCGGGTAGCAGTATAGTATATACGAAAAACTGACTCAAATTTATGCATAGCTTCCACAAACACTTGTTCTATACATCACTAATTATTAACTTAGACTACTCTTCTCGGAACGCCGGCAGTCAGCGTAAATATTTGTCGTTAAATGGTCATTACTATTGTGTACTTAGCATGATTCATTAGGAGGTACCATACATACGCAATTGTTGCATCAAAACCTCCTGTATTAGAGTTATCATACATGGTGTACAAGTTGAAATGATAATAGACTATGACAGTACAGCCTGATTGATTTGATTGATTGATTCGTAGGGTTTAACGTCCCAAAACCACCATATGATTATGAGAGATGCCGTAGTGGAGGGCTCCGGAAATTTCGACCACCTGGGGTTCTTTAACGTGCATCCAAATCTGAGCACACGGGCCTACGACATTTCCGCCTCCATCGGAAATGCAGCCGCCGCAGCCAGGATATGAACCCGCGACATGCAGGTCAGCAGCCGAGTACCTTAGCCACTAGACCACTGCGGCGGGGCGACAATACAGCCTACAGCCTGACAATACAAGCGTAAATATAACTGGCAAACATAAACTAAAAATGACAAAAAAGAAAAACGTGAAGTTCTCCTTCTCTGAAATACCACACCAGTCAAGGCTGGCGTGGTTAGACCACTCTGCACACAACGGAAATTCAATCGTGCCCATTCAACCGCTAGCGTGCATGTATTTCACAAAGCCTTGTTTGCGTTTCCGCTGCTTCGCGCAGGACATCCAGACGCAGTACATTGTGGGCCCCAACCTCGACCAGCCCGGTGTCGTCCACGTGCCGAAGCCCTGACGATTCGCGTTGCCAAGGCAACCACTCGTGCCGCTCCAATGGGAGTGGGAAAGGAAAGACAGTAACCCCTCCCCCCAGGATCATACCGAAAAAGAGATGCGGCTGTAGTTACGGATATTTTACTTTATATTAAAATGGCTGACGCTTCTGCACGCTTCACTGTAATGTTTTTTTTTTTCTTTTTGGCGCAAACGAGATCTGAGAAAACACGCATGACAGTAGCAAAATCGATTCAGTGGGAGCATGTGTAGCGACTTTAGTCTTATTTATATATTTATTTATTTATTTATTTATTTATTTATTTATTTAAATAATTTACTACAAAATGTTGTGGGAGACCAGGGAAAAAAGCTAATGCAATCATCTTGAGGGTGTCTTGGGCACTCTAGAATAAAAGGTGGTGACGAACAAAAAAAGAAAACAGGAAAATGAAATGCACACACGATATAATATATTGTACATGGATATCTTTCATGCAAAAAAGTAATTTGCTTCCATAGACATAATAAAGAAACATAATAAAGAAACATAATAAATAAATGAATAATTTTCTTTAAAATCAGCGAGAAACAAAAAGGAAAAAGAAGGCGTTGTTTATGAGGCATGTTCATGATAAGAATATTGTGGTAAAAATTCTCCGTAGTCCTTTGAACGAGCTACAACTTCACTTCCGTGACAATGCATGAAGTGACATTGCTTATTTGTTGATTTAAGGCGTTGTAACTCTATATATATTCAGTTAAGACTACCACCGCATTATGTTGCGTCAATAGATTCATTATTGTGTATCACCCGAGAATGGTGACGTTTTGACATCACAATTTGAGGACCTCTACGTCACAGAAGATTAGGGTGAGTGGCACGTTTATTCTTCCTTAATAGCGTGGCCCACCTCGAATAAGGGAGCCTTGTGCAGAAGTATTTAATAATTAGGAATTCACAATGAGTGACACAAGAACGGTAGAGATAAACGAATAGCTTAGGCCTTTGCGAGTGTCAGTGTTGTTCATTGTATCATTAGCGCTGACTACAGCTTCATTCATCTATTCAATCCTTTAATTTAATTGTTATGTTAACATTAAGGCTGCATGCGTACAAGTTACAATGGAATGGAGAGTGCTGTGTACAGATGCAACAATCGAATAACATTTCGCTCGTGCAGCGGGGCTGTAGATTTGCTATAAATTCATGCAACACGAGATATAGTTTGGAGAAATCCAAAGCTGCACGGTGCAAAATTCTGTACACTTGGGTTCCAAAAATATGCGTGTAAACAGTTAATAATATATGACGTATTATAAGCACCCTAATTTGTACAGTAAGCCAATACTGAAAGTGTGGATACTTTCCAGTGACGGAATATATAGAATAAATTTTGTTTTCACCACTCTGTAGGTGGCAGGCGATGTTTACGCGCAGTTAGCGCACTTCGGCCACAGAAGTCTGATCATCCATAGTATCGCCAGAAATGTGTTTAACGATGCGAAGGTGTGCTGAATACCAACATACGATCCCAGAACGTCCTTGAAGTAGCCTGCACGATAAAACCAGGGCAGAAACAAGTCAGTGCAAGATTTTTTTGTACTAACTCTATATCCTCAATCACTATACCTAAAGGCAGGCATGAAAGATCTATAATAATAATAATAATAATAATAATAATAATAATAATAATAATAATAATAATAATAATAATAATAATAATAATAATAATAATAATAATAATAATAATAATAATAATAATAATAATAATAATAATAATAATAATAATAATAATAATAATAATAATAATACCAGATTTTACAGTCTAAAACCGCGATATGATTGCGAGAGGCGCCGTAGTGTATATGGCTCGGCGATTTCGACAACCTGGCGTTCTTTAACGTACACTGACGTCGCACAGTACACAGGCTTCTGCCATTTCGCCTTCATACAAATGTGACCGCCACGGTAGGAATCGAACCCGCGACTTTCTGTTCAGCAGCTAAGCCCCGTAAGCACTGTTTCACCGTGGTCGAATTCTCATTCAAGACAGCGCAAGATGAAGGCAAGACAACTGCGTTGCTGCCCTGAAAAAAAAAATTGCATCTCGAAGTGTCAGTGACACCCAGTGTGCAGGAATCTTTAACCTCTTCACGTTATCAAGAGCGCCGATGCCGGGGCTCAGCTGCGGATTGTCTAGAAGATCGACTATGTGGCGGTCGGGTTTGGCCTGACTTTCCCTTCGTGGGAGTGGTCCGCCGCGCGCTCAGTCGCGCACCTGAGGATTTTACGTAAACATTTCGGGTCCACCTATCCACTAAGGTCTTCAATTTTTTCCTGAACTTTTACGTCACTCCGACGACTACAGGGCAACGCTCTGGGAAGTTTTCATAAAGTGAAGTCTACACCCAGCACAGTGCGCCAAGCAATATTGGCATTTGGACAAACTCAAAACGTCGTTCTAAGCACCAACAATCCTCCCTCGCCTTTTGAAACTCCCCCCCCCCCCCCCACAAAAAACCAAAAAGAACAAAAAAAAGAAAACACGTTGTGATCTTACCTATGAGTGACGGTCTTGCGAGCAACACGACTCCCATGACCGTATGGCATCCGCCGATCACGAGGGGAAGTCTCTCGCTGCCGAAGTCCCTAATGATAACGGGGCACACAAGGGTAACCATCGCTCCACAGCTTAGGCCCTGAACGACGGAGCAAGCCAGGAGATGACCTCCGGAACGGGACCACGCGAGGCCTTCGCAGGATGCCGCGTTGCCACAGAAGCCCAGAATCATCGTGGCGTTCATAGACAACACGCGTCTATCTATGACAAAGCCACTGACAAGAGAACTCAGAACCACGCTGACATTGAACGCAAGGAGAAAGTAACTCGCGAAGCTGGCTTCTATGCCACACTCGAGTGCCATGTCCAAGTAAAGAAGAACGAAATTTGATAAGACGTAGTTTTGAAGTGAAAATGACAGAGTGTCGAACAGAAACAGAGGTGAGACGAGGACCTTCCAGTCGATTCTCAATAATGTATTGGCAGATCTCCTTAGAATGCGATTATATTGCTCCATAATGTTGGGGACGCAGAAAAGATAACAACAGGACGTTCATCTACCATGCTTTTTGCCTTGGAATACGTGTTTGATACCTTACACGAGTTCGCGGCTGTGACAGGTACGCTATGTTCTTGAAAAGAGATCTCGGGGCCACTAGAAGTGTGGTACGACCCACATTCTTCATGATCTAGCGGAACCTCCTCTAGCAAAGGTTCAGTAGTAAATGCAACATCAGCTGTCGTAGAGTTGTTCACTCCCTGTAGTGTGGCATCTGTATTCTCATCTTTAACGCTTGTTGAGCTATGTTCCTTGCTTGCCCCAGATTTGAGTCGAGCGAGCCCGGCGTCCTTGCTTTTAAGATGCAGTCTCCATGGCGGTGTCCTCACGAGCAGAGCAGCCACGAATCCGTTCAGTGACAGGGCACCCAACAGCAGGAATATCTCGGGCGTGCCGTAGTGCACGCGAATGTGGTTCGCCGCGAATGGAGTCAGGAAGTGCGAACTTTTGGCTGCAGCAGACAAGGCGTACGCCGTGGCCCTCCAGCGAACGAAGTACTCGCCCACCACCACAGACGTGACGACGAACATACCATTGGCTGCCAGCCCTGCGGTAAGCGAAAGGTTCATCATGGCCTTAACACACACGACAATCTACGAGTAGTCGGCAGAACAAAAAGAAGAGGGATCTACACGCCACCTCGAAGAACCAGTTCATAGCGCATGGGATGAGAACCAAAAACAAACGACGTGTGTGAACAGCCCGAAAAACTCCCAAGAAAACTCCCAAGCATTTCCCCGAGGGTGAACATGGTTAAGTGCGAATACACGGGGTGATGCTATGAGGGGTATTTATTAATTCGCACTATTATATTTATTAATCACACTATGGTGCCTTTATGGTGTAATGGTTCCTGGGAATCGCGATTTGATCACACGGGGGAGTTTACGTTAACTCAATGGCGAATGCCAATGGATTTTAACTTTACTCCCCCTCACGACCCGCTCTCGACGGGAGACTGAGAGAGAAGGCGGGTGCGCGAGAGAGAGGGGTGCGCGCGCAGCTGCAGCGAGCGAGGAGAGCGAAGGAGCGAGCGAAGGGGGAGGGGGTATAAGGCGCCTTACTGACACCGATATCAGCGTCGCGTCCGTGGCTTATTCGGTAGAGCGTCGCGCTGCGGCCCGCCAAGTCCTCTTTCTTTTAAAGATAGAGAGAAGACTGCGGACGCCGCCGACGGTGGTGGATGGTTTGGGGTCGCTTATAAAGTGTATTCACACTTAATACGAATGAAAAAATTGAGTAGGCAGATTCTTTTATTATCATTGTTGTTATTACGTGTATATTTATTTTCCTGCAAAACTTGTCTTAGTCGACACCATTCTTTCCTTCACTACGTTTCTACAGCTTGCTATTTTTCTGTGGCTTTGAACAATTAAGTATTCTAAAAGGAGAGAGAGAGAGAGAGAGAAATGACACCTTGTTTCACAGTATTCGCCTGTTCATGGTGCATTCTGATCTAGGTTACCACAATAATCTCGGCACATCGTACGCCCTCAACTACTTACGCGATATGCAGGGGAGGAGACATTTATGAAGACATGGAAGATAACGAGTGTTCTGCAATTGCTGCTAATGGGGCTTCATGTTAACTCGCGACGCGTAAAAAACGTCCACCCACACGAGCACCACTTATACGATTTGGTAAAAGAATAACTACGCTTGTGTGAGTAATAACTACGCATGTGTGAGTAAATGCCACCAAAAGGGGCCTCACCATGCACTACCCCGAAGAAGAATGAGATGAAGGACACCGTGAGGCCGAAGTAGCACACCATGAGTGCCAGGGACAAGAGGAGGGAGCTGCCCAGAGACATGTACCGCATTGGAATCACCTCACACAGGAATCCCGTGAAAATTCCTAGAAGAACAAAGAACACAAATCCCGCACATTAACGGGTTACTCATGTCCACTCAGAAGAGTCATAAAAGCGGCAGAATAATGGAAAACCTTGTAGAGGAAGTAAAGTGGATGAGCAAGAAGCGTTGAAAGCTGGTTAGTTGGTAAAGCTTCATCTGCGCTCGTCCGTCTCGTTTCGTGTGTCCCGTCTGCTGCGCAGCTTGCTAGAAGATGAACAGGCAACTTCCCGCCGCCAGGGAACAAACCTGCCACCCCTGGATGACGCCAACTGAGCTACGGGGGCGGTCATCCTCTCGTCTACTTTGTCGGGAATTTATGTGCACGCAAACCTGGTATTTTTAGTCAGCGCCGGTCAACAAAGCCCTGAAGTTACCTTCCTGCGTTCATTAATGGCGAGGGTCTCGTTCCGACAGACGCGATGTCTTCAAGTATAGTATACGGTGGCTTACTGGTCAGCCGCCCGCTCGTTAAAAGGTCACGTGCTACGTGACTCCAGCTGGCAGAAAAGAAAGAAGGAAAAAATAAAGTGCTTCATACTCACCTTCATGGCTTATGGTAGGCGCTGGCTAGCACTCCCAGGGTGACGCTGCCTTTGTGGTACGTTGTGTATTTTACCTTGTTACTGTGTGTTATATAGACATTCTGCTGGGATTATTTGTTAAGTTACTGTAGTCATATGTGACACACGGTTGGCGGGCTCACCGTTGTGAAAAGCTGCCAGTAAATGCACATGCGTTCGTTGTGCAACGGCGTGTACTTTGTCCCTTTGTTCAGAGGGTGCCTCTCTCAAAAACTCACAAAATGTAGACAAAAAACGACTCGTATATTTAAACATCACCCGACATACCTCCAACCAGGCACAGGGAAGACTGCAGCGAAGGCGGCAACGATGCCTCTCCGTGGCTGGCCCCGAAGTGTTCCCGTATGCCGACGTACATGGCGCCTTGTGAACGGTTTCCTATGGTTGCAGTGTGGGCCATAACCATGCACATTGCCAGTGTGAACCAACTCCTGCGGCTGTCTTGAAGCCGAAGCCGCAGAGACTTGCTGGTGCTGGCGTCCACTGCAGCGACCAACTCCGATTCTGTCATGATTTCTCGGCTGCATGTAGCTGCGTTCTTATAAGAGAGATGGATAGAGATAAAATGCATGAAAGATGCGATGAATGAAGAGCTTGAGACGAAAAACTGACCGACAAGACGTCCCCATGAAAAATGTGGTAGATTAAACGAAGCCCACAGATTCTCCACGTAAATATATTCATCTATCACTTCTTGCTCAATAGCATCTTGAAGTCTGTGGCACGCCGTTTTATTTATACGCTGCACTTATGTGTATTCATCATTCTACTACATAGCATTGTTAAGTCAGTAACTTATATATAAACATTTCAAGAGGGTTATACTGTTAGTGCAAACGTATTCATAGTCGACGTGACTGACCATGAATGCGTTTGCGCAAACAGTATCCGTCAATCCATCCGTCCGTCCATCCATCCATCAATATATCTATCCGCCTAAGTGTGGGTGCTGTCTTGATAACCTCTTTAACTTTGGGTACACCAAAATTACTATGAGAAGGTAAGAGGGTTCGACGATTTTGACTGCCTGATCAAGACAGGAATAATGGGAAAATCCAGCCGCGTACGATGTGAAACCTTTTTCTACAGACACGTGTGTCACATACCCGTAAAGCACAGGCCGCGGTCTACGCGGGTATGCGCCACAGGTGTTTGACAGCTTATATCTGCCGAGGAACTGCGAGAACAGACACTGGCAATTTAAATGCGAAAGCATTAATGAAAAGCGACGTCAGCAGCGTTTACCCGACGAATGCAAAGAATAAATGTTATGGTCACAGTAGAAATTGAATTCAAGAATTCTGCGTGGCAATCAAGTATTCTACCACACAGCCAACAAATGTCTCGGAACTGCTTTGGGAAAAGAAATTATGCAAGTGTAATGTTCCCGTAACATCTATCATGGTTGCAGAGCTGCCAATCTAATTTTATAAGCCTAACACATGCATACTTAAGTGACATTGGCGTCACGTTGGTTCAGCATCAATTCTAGCTAAACGCCATCCACTAGAGTCGATCTGCGTAGCGCTATCCAGGGCTGTACCATCTTCGCAAGCTGCAAGTTTCAGCTAACCGCTTCTGGAGTTGGCATTACCCATTTTCCTATGTCATCGTTGCACTACTGTAAACAGCTGGTTACGTAAAACATATGTGACTGTTCAGCATACATGCCTGGGCGTATAACATTTGCAGATACGTCCTGCATCGTTTCGTAACGTTTCGCTCAATACCACCACCAGTCACCTTCCCTCCACATGCTTTGTATAACATAGACTTCCATGGCACGTGGGATCTGCAAATTTTCCTTAGGTGTATTACAACAGGATTGTCTTACTCTTGAATAGAAGTAATCAGTGGAAAGTAAAATAAAAACAGGATTTGCCTTCTATTAGATGAATTGAACGCAAAATGGTGTCAGTTATTCTTCTGCAAAACGTCTCCAACTGAGATTCGGAAACAACTTCATGTACAACAAGGAAGTTGGAAGTTTGACATTGAATTGAAAGCACCATATGTCCAAACGAGCAGGATGCACTTACCACGATAAGCAAGGCTACTTCGGTGTCATCAACTCTGGCGAGGCTTTGACCGAGAGGTTGCAGTACGCACAGACAAGGTAGGATGACACGTTTTCATCCAGGACGCATCTTTACCAGCTGATTCCTTAACATTTACCCGCACCCTCACGTTTGCTACAGGTCGGGTGAGCTCGCAGCACATGCAACACACCTCGGTGTTTCCATCCGGAGACGAGGGCGCGATCTGCCGTACGCATGTGGTTTCCTGCTCCGACAGCTGTTTTTTTTTCTAAAAGCAGCTGTCTTCATTTCTGCATGCAACCCTCAAGCTATGAGTATGTGCACTTCCAGTCGTTGCAAACATTATTTGGACGATGGTTCAGTGACAGTTTGTGTATTAATCAAAACTAACTGTCAGTGCGTGCGTACCAGGAGAGCTCGTGTTTGGCCATCGAGTGAAACAGTAATGACTTGGAGACAGTCGCAGTAAATGGCATCTTTACACACAGACAAATGAAAGATCATCGACTATATATATATATATATATATATATATCTATATATATATATATATATATATATATATATATATATATATATATATATATATATATATATTGCAATAAAATATTTCTACAGAGTGAGTGGGGATTCGATTCTCACTCTGATGTGCGACGCATAAAACCTTTCCGCCTCACAGCATACCAGTATAATAACGGTGAGCTACTTATACACGCCGATTACCTTTATGGTAGCAGATGTACTTGGTGCTTTCTACGTGAACTGCCTTCATCACAAACTTTGCGTTGAAGACTACAGTTCACACGAAGGCCACTTCGCTCGCGCTGCAACAACTATGTTTGCTGAAGTGAGCTGTCAAATTTTCTTCGTATGACATTCCGATTTGTTGCCGTCGCATTTACCGCTTCCTTATTTCGGTGAAAATGTGACTTTTTTTTAATTTCTTCAACGAGCTATCTGTAAGATAGCAAGGCATTTGTCAAGAACGGAATGGTTTACTGTTTGCGACTCTTTATTGCAATCGGTGAGCGTTTTTCACGAACGCCACGTTGCAGAACTTACGGCGTCAGACACATACTCTTCTTGTGTGACGACGGAAAGGTGCATGCATGCATATGATGCTCCTTTCACCAAATTCTGCACTTCTTCGCGAAGTTCATCTTGCTGCCTCGGGGGCAATTGAAGACCTCTGCAAACTGGGGCGTGTTTCCGAAGGGAATGTTAACCCTGCAAAAGAGGTTCATATGTTGCTCGCATAACTCGCAACATCCCCACGTTTCGTGGCACATCAGCAGCGAAAGTAAGGCGCAAAACAAGAGGGATTTTGGTTTTTGATGTCGTGCACCAGCACCAGTAAAAGTATACGTACACGCATAAAGATTTGAGCAGACGTGCCTCAATGCATGAAATAAGTCACCCACTAGCGACAATGAGTGTGGGGGGTTTTACATCTCAAAAGGGCGTTATGGTTAGGAGGGACGTCGTAGCGGAGAGCTCTGGAAGTTTTGACCATTCGGTGTTTTTAAACGTGCGCCTAAATCTATTTAGCCTGCATAGAAATGTGACCGCCGTGGGCGCATTTGTACGGTTGGCAATACTAAACGAGTTACTCGACTCAGCTCAACGGGTGATTGCCAACAGAGAGTAATGTGTAGGTGCAATATTCTTCGACCTTCGTCTTCTTCAACGGTTTGTAATCATCGTAACTGTGACCGTAATCTTCGTTCGAATGGTTAATCGGATGTCTATGCCTGATAAGCGTCGTCGTGACACCAGCGCTGCTACTGTATTGCAAATGAGACATAGTCGTAATGCCTGAGTTAAGAAGAGCAATTAATATAACAGTTGATATGGTATCACCACTCTGGCACTATAATGGTGTACCAATTTTACATACTACGCACTCTTTAGCTGCGTGCGAGCGATTGACAGCCAGGCCATTATCCTGTGTCTGGCAGATGCAGAAATGTCGAGAGGAGGAAAGGCTTACTATACAGCTTTTCAAAGAAGGCTTCATGTTGCACCGGCAGCACGTCCGCAGGCAGAAGAGAAAAGAACGAACACGAAAACGTGTCTCATGCGACTGACAAAACGTCAATCAAGGAGGCATATTTAATCCTCGGCGGCCGCAAAAGCATCAGCAAACTGAACAGCTGTGTAGGTTGCCCGACGGTCGCGTAATTGGCCCTACGTTGGTTCGCGAAAGAAGTAGCGACGGGGTAGTAGGCGCCTAAAAACTGTACTCGCAGTAAACATTCCATGATGCTTTGAAATGGCCAATGATGTATACGCGCACGCAGTAATTCATCTCCTTATACGACATGGTTGAGGCATGCACAGAGAACAGAAGCAGGCTAGCTGTTAAGAGGGCGATGCGCATGAGAGCCGTATATATGCTTTCGTGACCTGCTAATGAAGGTGAAGCTTAAGCTCCCTTCACTATCTTTTTTTACGGCAACATTGTATTCATTCACCCTTCAATATGGAGTTAGACGCGTCATGCCCCTTCCCCCCCCCCTCTCAAACAAATTATATTTTCTTGCATTCGCACGTTCCACACACACGTCTTGCGACATGAATTGTGTTATTGGGTGAAACGACCCACCTCTGCTCCGAGACGGAGTGAACGTCGTCATCGATCACAGACCTCTTCAGATTCTTATCGTACTTCTTGCACCAGAGCTGCGAATCGAGTTCAGAGCGGCGTGTCACAATAAAGTATACAATCATAGATTATAAGTGAACAAGATCTGTATAGTTCGCGTGAAACGAAGAAAAGAGTGAGGAAAGAGATCAATAAAACCTACTGGTGAGCAGGTTGGAACTGCCTATGTTCTGTTTTACCGCAAGAAAACGCGAAAAAAAAGCATATGAGTACACAGCGTTTTTTTTTTTTTGGACATGAAACACTTCGCCATCTATTCTAGAAGGTTTTATAAGAGGGCCACCTCTAGAAGCATCGTTGTACGTCATCGGATTAGGTGCATAGCCTCCGAGATGGCGGGCAAGCCCGCCATCACGGTCATGCCTGCCATCTCGGAGGCCATGGTAGGTGTAACACCTTCTAATGTACAATCCTTCCGTGCACTGGCCTTTAATTTGGCACTGAAGGGGGCAAGTGTGCGAGGACTTTCAAGATTTCTTAGCTCAGTCAATCAGATTGACAGGTTTAGTCAAAGTTCGGCCGATCGGTATCGTAAAACCCAGTGAGGTATGTACAGAAAGCTTTCCAGCACCTGTGATCCCACAGGCAGTGCTAAAGCACGTAAGGTGCAGAAAGTTTTATACAAGGGGGATAGGGCGGGGGGGGGGGGGTCATCTTTAAGTTGAAATTGATTTAAGCAAAAAGCAACGAAGTGCAAGTTGCCAAGAGAACCGGCGAAAAGGAATAAGAGCGTGCCGACGCGGATGCCCCTTAAATACAATCGAGTGACACGAAAAGCAAGGGGAACATGACTTCCGCTCTCAAGTCGCTTCAGGCGAATGAAAAAGGAAACAAATGAATTTTGTTCTTGGTGATCTAGAATGTTGGCGATATAAATCCCCTAAACGTACACAGGAAAGAAGTGTACATTCATTTATGAGCTCGATTTTCGTTTGTTTTGTTAAACACAATAATAATGAAATCTAACAGACAATCATGTCCAGGAAAGTATAGAGAATATTATTAGCACTAATTGTGAAGTAAATGTGAAGAAAGAAAAAGTGCACTAAAATATAACTTGCTTGATTTTCGTTTGTTTCGTTAAACACATAAATAATTAGATCTAACAGACAATCATGTCCAGGATAGTATAGAGGATATTATTAGCCCTAATTGTGAAGTAAATGTGAAGAAAGAAATAGTGGACTCAAAGATAACTTGCCGTGGGCAAGTAGCGAACCTGTGACATTCGAATAACGCATGCTCCACCAGAGCATCGGCCACGTTATTCGAAGGTCGCAGGTTTGGTTCCCGCCCTTGACAAGTTATCTTTTCATCCACGTTTCTTTCTTCGTTTACATTACAATCAGTGCTAAGAACAGCCCCTATATATATACTTTCCTTGACATGATTGTCTGTTAGATCTCACAAATATTGTGTCTTAACGTATATAGACGTCTAGGTAAATGCTATAGCGTTGGCGTATAAAGTGAGGCTTGATTCAACTTAAACACTTCCTTCCCCGCACCTAAAGCAAAATTTTTCGTTTGTATCTGTACATGCACAAACATATAGCTACAGAGTGACGTCACCCGTAGGAAAATAATTAAAATTTGGCTGCGACACTATAGCGTAGTATATACACCGAGTGTCTAGAAACTAAATGTCCGTATGTAATATAACCCTCCTGAAAGTTCACTTGGGAATGCATATTGTTGCTGTCCTCGTCCCTTCACGCTGCTTCAATGTTATTAATTACTATTATTAATGGGTGCAGAGGAAGGCAGTAAGGTTCATTTATAATAAATATAGGCAAACGAATTCTCCTACAGAATTATTACACAAAGCTGGTCTGTCAACACGACAAAGTCGTGCGAAAATAGCAAAACGAAAGTTTTTGTTTCAGTTATTTTATGGAGACAAAAACATCGACGCGTCAAAACTATATAATCTCTTTCAGTCGATCTAGGTTAACACGTTACCGGCACTCTCAAGCACCTAATGAATACACTTTTCATTCAAACTGCTTTAAATATTCATATTTCCCGCAAACCGTAAAAATTTGGAACCAACTTAGCCCTTCTGTTATGAACACTTCATCTTTGAATGTGTTCTTAGATATGGTAGAAGCAAAGGTACACGCTGAGGAGTTTTTCTGAAAATTGTTGTTCTTTTTCTTTTCTTTTGTCCTCTTGTAATTCGTATGTAGGCTCTGTATACTGATAACGTGATTGCATAATTGTACATTTTGTCTTTATAGTTGTTGTAATTCATAGTTTTGCAGAGATTTGTACCCTCACCTTGCTCATAGCTACTACTGCTTCTCATGTATCGATTGCTTATTGTTTTGCATGCTAGAAATGATTGCTTCGTGTTTCTTTTCTGTATAATATATATGCCCTCCCTTCAATGATCTCCTTGTGAGATCGGCAGTATTGTTAAATAATAAATAATATTAACGCACCTGGGCTGCACTGATGAAGTGAAGTTGCGCAGGAGTGTAGGACTCAAGACCGGGAAGGAGTTGCAGGTCGTCCTTATAGATCTGCTTCTGCTTCAGGAACGCCTGCGCATAAAAACAGTATATAGTTTACAGTCACAGCCGTGGTACGACCGGATTCCGTAACGATTCCATTTGGTGTCTTTTTTGTTTATTACGCTGCTTGTCTTTTGGCTTTAACAAAGAAAAAAAACATTTGCTATTACTCTGAAAACAGTAGATAAAAAAACGAATTTGAAAGGAAATACTTACAAGATGTCCCCCCTTCCATCTCTTGCCAATGCACCGGAGCATGGGTAAACTGGCTGTTTTCTCACCGAAAGCGATTACTAGAAGCGGCATGCAACGTTGACAGGGTGCCGTGTAACGCAGACTAAATAACGTAACAATCCATTGCGAAACAAATCATGAAAGAAAGCAATAGCTACGAGACTATGTTCACAAACTTAAGTCCGCATTCACAAAAATATATTACGTCTAAAAAAAAAAACGTTCGGGGGAGAACGTTTCAGTAAGTGCTTGTGGAGTAATCACTCCTGCTCTCTAGACTATGACTTCTGCGGGAGCTGCATCACTTATTCACAACACACGAGGCGCTGACTCCACGTTGGTGGGAGTTTATTCACTACCAGCGTGTTCGGTGTTCTGTATTTAAGGGAGGCGGGCACGGGGGGGGGGGGGGGTAGAGAAGCGAACTCGAAGGAGGACATGCTGCGCAACGAATTAAAAAGAAATAAAAAAGATATGCTATGAAGCGCTCCTCCCAGTGGTCTGTCTTTGGTCCCTGGCTTTCCTGGAGACGGGAAGGAAACAGTTTTTGTACTACGTCATCAAAGGTTAGAGGTTTTGGGCCACCGTTGCGATCAGAAACCTGCATGGCCTAAGTGAGTGAACGTATTAGGCAGAAATCGCCTAGCCCCCCCCCCCCCTCTCATAGGTGATTATGGGAAGGGGATAGGGGCGGCTTTCTCTCATGTGCACGCCGATAGGAGCGTAGTGATTTCACCACTAGACAGCAATTTCCGTAAAACATTGCCACCACGAGATTTCGTTTACATATCCTATGAGAGGGAAGAACGACAGACAGTTTATGTGATCGTCATTTCATCATCATCGTCATAATTTTCTCAATCTTTTCATGTTTAAGGTCTTTCAGCACGGTGTCCTCTCCCAGCTATCTCCGGTTTACCATATCACGTGCGATCTGATTATAGTTTATCCCTTTTAAATTCGTCACTCTAACTTTCGCCTTCCCACACTGCGTCTCCCATCCCTTGGTGACCATGCCATTTCTCTCACTGCCCACCGTTTCTCTGTAGTAGACGCGTTAAGTGGCCCGCGTAAGTCCATTTTTTTTGCTTGATCTCCGCTGCAATATCTGCAACCGCTGTTTGTTCACTGACTCATTCTACCATTCTCAGATCTCTTAATGTTATCGCTATAATTTTTTGCCCGATTGCACGCTTCGTGGCCCTCAAGTTTCTCTATTAGTACAGAAAGTAGGAATTTCGACGTTGACGGGAGGTACACAAGTAGACCAGAATGGTAAGCTTACCAAGTAGCTAAGACGAGCTGCCGCGTTGTCAGAGATGTCCTCGGCAAGCGTTTGTTTAGACGGAAGCTAAAAAAGAAAAGAAAATATCAAGTGTGAAAAAAATGGCGCTTTTCGTTCTGCAATATGCAACAGTGACACCTTGCGAACGAAAATACGTGGGTTGGCATTCTAGAACGGAATTCGTTACGAAACGCGTTACAACAACAACAACAACAACAACAACAACAACAACAACAACAACAACAACAACAACAATAATAATAATAATAATAATAATAATAATAATAATAATAATAATAATAATAATAATAATAATAATAATAATAATAATAATGTATATTTTCACAAATACAAATTTGATGGAGGGAGTGCGAATAAAAGCTACTCTTCTCTTCTTTCTAACCCTGTTATATACATAAAGCAGAGGTGGTGGTGGCCACACAACGCACAATCCGGTGAGAATACACAACGCTAACGCCCCAAAACAGATCATTTGTAAATTTCAAACAAACTGCATACCATGGTGGAGGCGAGAAAAAAAAACGACCGATACATACACAGATCAAAATTCAGAATAGTTCAATTTGGCAACTACACGAAGTAGGCGTACGGACAAAGAATGGGGGATGGATCGAGGGCTCGTCCGCCTCGGTGGAACAGTGGCCACGGTGCTGACCCGATGGTCGAGGGGTCAAATCTGGCCGCAGCGGTCACATTTCGATGGAAGCGAAACGCCAGGAACGCATGTACTGTGTAACGTCAGTGCAAGTTGAAAGACACCAGATGTTCAAAATTTACCGGAGCACTCTGCTACGAAGCCCTCATATAATGACCTCGTGGTTAGACACAACGTAATGAAACGCTGTATACAATGAAGCCAAGGAACGCATGCGAGACATTATTTATAGCCTTTATCAGTATAGTGCAGTAGTTATGACATAAGTGGAAAGGGATTTAAACGCTCGATCCCCCTTACTGCAAAACCTGAAGTGCGTGGCACGGGCACCCAGTGACTCCCATTCCTAGCGTTCCCACTGCACCCTTTACCGAAACGTCGATGGCAGGAATGTTTGAGGCAAGCATGCGGGCTTTCCCCGCCACGAGTCGACTCTTGCTTTAGAGAAAATTCGCAAACTCGGTGTGCGACATGTGCGCTATACTTGCTGCTGTTATTTATTGACTGCATGCTTCTTACTGCTGTAAATTGAGATACATGTGCTCTGCAGCGAGCACCGTCAGGTTGTTTCACCTATCAGATGCAGCGACGCAGCACCGGTGGCACGTAACAGGAGTGGCTATACTATACTATACTATACTATACTATACTATACTATACTATACTATACTATACTATACTATACTATACTATACTATACTATACTATACTATACTATACTATTCTGCACTATGCTGTACTATTCTATACTATACTATGCTATACTATGTTATACAATATACACGGCTATGCTATGTATTGTGTAGGCAGCAGCGCGCATAACCTGAGCGATGGCAAAGGCCAAGCGACGGGAGTTGCGCAGTGAAGCGACACGTCGACCCAGCCTCGGAGAGATTGCTCTCCCGCGTTTACTGCAGGAGGAAGAAGAAGGGTGATCGGCCGGCGTGACACCGGTCACCTGAACCACGTGGCCAAGCCGGGTAGGCCGGGGGAACAGGCGTGGAGCAGGCCTAATTTCATCTAGCGGCATGTAGCGGAAACAGCGTAACCACACGGGTGTGTGTGTGCATGGCAACAGGGGTCACACGACACGACACTATGCTCCTCCTCACCCTCGAGTGCCTTTCTCTCACCCTTACAATGACTGACCATTAGTGTTGTACACTGTCTTACTCGCGTGATGCCAGGCAACACGAGATGACAGCCCACCCTCGCCCTCGCTTTCCTTCCTCGCCCATTGATATATACACGGCTATGCACCACATGGTTCTTCCTGCGTAATACCGTGCATAACTATAATTTGATTTATCTTTTCCCTTCCTCCTTTCTATCCTTCTTACCCTTGTGTGACTCCTCATCAGCATCTACGTTCTTTCCCGCCACATTTGCTCTATACACGCTGCAGCGCTTTATAGGGCTATGCCATACAGTGGTTTCGCCTGCGATGCGCCAAGCGACGGCATCGACAGCGCATACGACCACCTGGGTCCCTAAAGTGGGCGCATACGACAACCTGGGTCCCTATTGCGGGCGTATGTTCAGCCCTGAACTAAGCTTAACAACATCACACAATTAAGCCCAAGAAAACATTTTTGTCAGAGTCACGTACGTTTGCATCTGATAAATTATAGTGTTACACAAGGCATGGTAAATTAATGGGGGTTTTTAATGGGCCCTGAGTCCACGATCACCGTCCAATGATGATGATCTCCACCGCCATGGCTCGTACCCACTCAGAGGGATCGCAGTGGAGGCAACGTTGTCTTCATTCTCTACCCGCGCTTCCCTTGTTTTTCCTGGTAGTGATACTTCTTATCATTCCTGCCGGTCTCAGATGAAGCCCTCTGGGCGAGTCATTCTTGCATCCTTCGTGTAAACGGCTTCAGGCGGGCAACATGCGTCACCTCTGTCTTGCATGAACGTCGGCCACTATAGTGGTGACACGTGCAATTTCATAGTTGACCTCGCTGAGACGATGAAGTATCACGAAAGGACCGGCGTAGTGTGCCAGTAGCTTTTGGCTCTAGACGCGTCTGCGTATTGGTGTCCACACCCACACTAGATCACCGGGGGCATAGGTTACATGCCTGTGTTGACTGTCGTAGCGAGTTTTGGAGGACTCTTGCGCTGCCAGTGTACGTAGGCAGGCAAGTCGACGTGTCTCTTCTGCGCGACACAAAGTTTCCGCAATTGTTAAACCGTCATGGACGACAAAAGGAAAGATAGTGTCCAGCGTATGTCGAGGTGAGCGAGCGTAAAGCAGATAGAAAGGGCTGTAGCCGGTCGTTTCGTGTTTCGACGTGTTGAAGGCGTACGTGACGAATGGTAAAACTTCATCCCAGTTTTTGTGGTCGGAGGCGACGTACATTGACAACAGTGTTGATCAACGTTCGGTTTGTGCGCTTGGTGAGGCCGTTAGTTTGTGGGTGATTCGCAGTTGAGTGTCGGAACTTGGAAGCACACAAATGAAGTAATGATTCGACAATATCAGCGGTAAATTGTCGTCCACGGTCACTTATTATCACGCGAGGAGGTCCGTGTCGGAGGATGACTGAGTTCAACAGGAACTCCGAAACCTGGACTGCCGTGGCGGAGCATAAGGCAGCTGTCTCGCAGTACCGCGTCAGGTAGTCGGCGCATACAATTATCCTCCGGTTACCTTTTGAGGAGCGTAGAAATGGTCCCATCAGATCAATGCCGACCTTTTCAAAAGGGGAACCAGGAGGCTTTACAGGTTGCAGGTGACCAACTGGACCCGAGGAGGGCCTCTTGTGGCTCTGGCACTGCGTACAGCTGGCCACGTAGTTCTTAATTGTCTTGCTCATTTTTGGCCAATAAAATCGCTCTTTCGTGCGACTAAGTGTTCGTGCGGTGCCTAGATGGCCAGAGGTGGGGTCATCATGCGTGAGACGCAGAACAGACGTTTGGAGAGACGCAGGAACAACTAGCAGAAAGCGGGCGCCCGTCGTGGACAAGTTTCTCTGGTAAAGAAGACCGTTTCGGACGCAGAATCGGCCTTCGCTTAATGAATTTATCGCTCCAGGGAAGAGAGCTTTCAAGCTTGGGTCATTACGCTGCTCAGCGGCGAAAGTCACGGCATCGGGAAAGCCAGACGACAGAGAAGCGATAAGGTGGTCAAAGTTATCGCCTTCACAATCTGTCGATGGTAGCGGCATTCTGGAGAGGCAATCCGCATCAGCGTGTAGACGGCCAGTCTTGTATGAAATGGTGAAGACATGTTCTTGCAAACGAATGGCCCATCGTGCGAGGCGGCCGGATGGGTCACGAAGGTTGACGAGCCAACACAGGGAATGGTGATCTGTCACGATAGTGAACGGGCGACCATAGATGTATGAGCGAAACCGTTGCACGGTAAAGACTACCGCGAGGCATTCCTGTTCGGTCACTGTGCAGTTGCGTTCAGGCTTGCTTAAAGAACGACTTGCGTACGCCACAACGTGTTCCTCCTTGCCAGAACGCTGAACGAGAACGGCACCGATACCGATGCCACTTGCGTCTGTGGGAATTTCCGTGGGCGACGAAGGATTGAAGTGCCGAAGTATTGGCTGCGAAGTTAACAAACACTTCAGCTTGTGAAAAGCGGCATCGCACTCGGACGTCCACTGAAACGGGCTGTTCTTGCGTAGAAGGCTCATCAGGGGGTGAACGACATCGGCAAACTTGGGTACAAACTGGCGGAAATACGAGCAGAGCCCGATGAAGCTACGCAGTTGTTTCACAGATTTAGGACGCTCGAACGATTCAACGGCTGCTGTCTTTTGTGGGTCAGGTCTAATGCCATCTTTGTCGACGAGATGTCCTAACACCAATGTCTGTCGCTCGCCAAAAAGGCACTTTTTTGAATTCCATACAAGGCCAGCCTTTTCAATGCAGCTGAGCACGAGGTCTAGGCGAGTGTTGTGCTCCTCAAACGTACGCCCAAAAATTACATTATCAAGGTAACACATGCATATATGCCGTTTTAAACCACGCAATATAGAGTTCATAAATCTTTCGAATGTCGCAGTAGCATTACATAATCCGAATGGCATAACGTTGAACTCGTAAAGTCCGTCGGTCGTAACAAATGCCGTCTTTTCTTTGTCAGCTGCGTGCATCGGAATTGGCCAGTAACCTGATCTCAAGTCGACAGATGAAAAGTAGGACGCGGAATGCAGGCAGTCTAGAGCGTCATCGATGCGCGGCAGTGGATAGACGTCTTTCTTGGTAACAGAATTCAGTCGACGGTAGTCAACGCAAAATCTCCACGTACCATCCTTCTTCCTCACTAGAATGACGGGAGCAGCCCACGGACTTGCCGATTCCTGTATTATTCCCTTTTCCAGCATCTCTTGGACTTGCTCGTTGATTATCTTGCGCTCCGATGGTGCCAATCGGTAAGGTTTTTGCCTAATGGGATGCGCCGACTCGGTGTGAATCTGATGACGTATCCGGGACGCTGGGATTAAGGGCCTTTGGCTGTATTTGAAAAAATCGAACACCTTCGAGTGCTTAGACAGAACGTCGAGCAGTGTATGACGTTCGCTTTGATCAAGTGACTTGCTGACCATTTGTAGCAATTGGGCATCTTCTGAACCTTCTAAGCCTAGATGTTCATTTTGGCTTGTAGCATCAACAAGCGCAAGCAGCGTCGTACATGACTCGGGTCTAAATACTGCAAGTTTCATGCCACCTGGCAGAATTGCAAGCTCTATGGAACTGTTCATTGTCCACACACCTGCCCGTCCATCAACGACTGACACTGTACAATAGGGAATTAGAATGTTCTTTTTCAGGCATGCCGAGGGAATTGGTTCGAGCGTGGCGTCAAACGTGCCACACTTGTTACTGGAACATGTCACGGGAACACACACAGCAGAAAATGCGGGAACGACTGTATCCACGGAGACGAAAAAGATGCATTCCTCCGGACAGGAATTTTCTAAGAGCGCCGTTGGGAAAGTACCGTATATAGAAAGATGCCCACTTCTGCAGTCTACAGTTGCCCCACACTCACACAAGAAGTCAATACCCAAGATAGCGTCATGTGTAGACCGCGGAATAACCGCAAACTCTGTGCAAAACACTTTGCCACACAGCGAGACGTCCACAGTACAATATCCCACCGGACACAACACGTCACCACTTACACCACGAAATGTCACCCCACGGTTCAGGCAAAACATCACTTTTGGTCCTAGCAGGTTCTTAAAATTTACACTCATCACCGAGACTGTCGCGCCTGTATCCACAAGTGCCATAGTAGCCACTCCATCGACAACTACACGAACTTTGTTCTTCAACATAAACGCTGACAGGGGTATATCTGTAGATAGCACCTGTGATCTTGCGGCTTCACCCCCACTGGCCGCACCGACTAGTTTTCCGGCGGCGGTGTACGTGCGCGTCGCCGTGGCGACGGCGATCGTGGAGCACGGGGAGCTGGTGGTGGCGTCAAACTTCGATCAGAGGCCGGCGAGGGGTAGCGTGACCCGGTAGGTGCGCGTGGTTTCCGTGACGTGGAGTGTGGATGGTCGAAATGTTGGTGATACATGTGCCAAGATTGTCGCTGGTATGGGCGGTGGTCACAAAAACGTGCAATATGACCCGGGACGCCACAGTTGTAGCATACCGGAATTGGTCGAGGGGCACGTGGCTGCTCAGAGTAACGACTTCTCTCGGAAGGCATGGGATAGTGGTGCCGCCCTTCAGGGGCGCTGTAGGCAGGCGATGTTGGGTAAACAGGCGGGCGAAAACTTCGTTCGTAGTTGGGTGTTGGATGACGGGGGAGTCCAGCCTGCCGTGTGCCTTGATATTCATAAGCGTCTGCTGCGTTGATCGATGATTGCCATGGTGGAAGAGAAACAGGAGTCCGCACACGTTCTGGTTCGTTTACGTACACATCGTGAAAATCGCTGGGGCGATGATAGGTCTGCTTACATCGAAGCAGCTCTTCTCTGACAATCTGCCGTATGGTCAAAGCAAGGTCGTTAGGCGGCACTGTTTCAACACTAGCCACAGTGGGGACGTTGGACAGGCGGCCGAATTTCGGAGAAATTCGTCGCATCTTGAGGGATTCAAAGGTACGACAGTGCTTCATCACGTCAGACACAGAGTTCAAGCAGTCTTTTCCAATTAAGAAATTGTACACGTCTTCGGGTATACCCTTGAGAACGTGTCCAACCTTGTCTTCTTCAGACATCCTCCCATTCACGATCTTGCACAGCTTCAATATTTCTTCAATGTATGTCGTACATGTTTCTCCTGGAAGCTGTGCCCTCTGAGACAATGTCTGCTCTGCGCGTTTTTTCTTTGCATCCGAATCACCGAAACACTTCTGCACTTCTTCAACAAAACGTTCCCAAGTAGTGAACATGTCCTCGTGGTTCTCGTACCACATGAGGGCGGTGTCAGTTAACGAGAATACGACATGATTGAGCTGTTCGTTCGAGTCCCAGCCATTGCTTCTGCTCACCCGCTTGTAGTTCTTGAGCCACATGTCGACGTCTTCTCCTGAGGTTCCGCCGAAGTTTGGCGGCACTCTGTAGTATGGCGCGGAAACCATCGGAGTTGGCCTCGAAGCGTTGGATGGCTGCTCTTGGGCCATTAGGATCGGCGAAGGTGGAAGTCCGACGAGGCGGCGGCTGCGACGAAGTCCTGGTAGTGAAGCTTCCATCTTTGGGTTCGTCCTACTCAGCACCTCCACCAAATTGTTACACAAGGCACGGTAAATTAATAGGGGTTTTTAATGGGCCCTGAGTCCGCGATCACTGTCCAATGATGATGATCTCCACCACCATGGCTCGTACCCACTCAGAGGGATCGCAGTGGAGGCAACGTTGTCTTCATTCTCTACCCGCGCTTCCCTTGTTTTTCCTGGTAGTGATACTTCTTATCAATAGCATCCAAAGGCGAGTCCTATACCTCCCGCCTATAAAATGAGATGGTTATTCTCTTACCTTCATATGCGTGACGGGATCTGTGACGTTTCCATACTGTTCCAAGAAGCACTGGGCTTTCTTGCGAAATTTCGCTTCCGTCATAGGTGGCCACCAATTGAAGAGTGTGCCGTCGTCGGTGTACTTCCGTCCTACGAAACAAAAGTCATCGTCATCATAATCATCATCATCATCATCATCCTGACTACGTCCACTGCAGGACAAATGCCTCTCCCATGTTCCGCCAGTCAACCCGGTCCTGTGCTTGCTGCTGCCAATTTATACCCGCAAACTTCTCAATCTCGTCTGCCCACCTGACCTTCTGTCTCCCCCTAACCCGCTTGCCTTCTCTGCGAATCCTGTTAGTTACCCTGATTGGCCAGCGCTTATCCTAACTGCGCGCTACGTGCCCGGCCCATGTCCGTTTCTTCTTCTTGATTTCAACTATGGTATCCTTCACGCTGGTTTATTCCCTGACCCACTTTGCTCTCTTCTTGCCCCATAAGGTTACACCTATAACTTTCATTTCCATCGCTCGCTACAACATCCTCAATTTAAGCTGAACCCTAGGCTCTTTGTAAGTATCGAGGTTTCTGCTCCATAGCTAAGTACCGGCAAGATGCAGCTGTTATATACCTTCCTCTTGAGGGATAGTGGTAACCCACCAGTCATCATTTCAAATTGCTTGCCGAATGTGTTTCACCTCCTTCTTATTCTTCTAGTTACTTCAATCTCGTGGTTCGGTTAGGCTGATACTACCTATCCTAAGTAGACGTACTCTCTTACAACTTCAAGTTCACAGCTACCTCTCTCGAAGCGCTGTTTTTTTCCGAGGTTGTTACATTGCTTTCGTTTTCTGCAGATTGATTTTAAGACCTACTTTCTTGCTCCCCTTGACTAATTCAGTAATGATGAATTGCAATCGGCCCCATGAGTAGCTCAGCAATGCAATGCCATCGGCGAAGTGCAAGTTACTAAGGTACTCTTCACTAACTAATATCGCTAATTCTTCCCATTCTAGGCCTCTGAAAACCTCCTGGAAGCACGCATTGGAAGGATCGTATCACCGTGTCTTACACTGTTCTTGGTATTCTGTCACTTTCTTTACGGAGCACTACGCTGGCAGTTGGTCCTCTGTAGATTTTTTCCTGGATTTTTATATATGCTTCGTCGACGCCCCCACACCCGCAATATCTGCATGACTGCCGATATTTCTACAGAACGAAATGCCTTCTCGTAATCTATGAAGCGTATGTATAGTGTTTGGGTGTATTCTGAGCATTTATTTATCACATGATTGATAGTATGAACATGGTCGATTAATTGTTGAATAGCCTGTTTGAAACACTTGATTCTTTGGTTGATTGAATTATAATGTTGTATTCATTCTGTTAGCAGTTACCTTTGTAAATATCTTGTATATATACGACGGAGAGGAAGCAGATCGGCCTGTAAATATTCAAGTCCTTGTCAGCACCTTTCTTGCGGTTTAAGATTATTCTAGCATTCTTCTAAGATTTTGGTATCCTCCCCATCAGAAGACACTTCGGAAACAGGGTTGCTAGTTTTTTAACACACAGGCGTTGCATAGCATATAAGTGCACGCTAATATTCAATGAATACGCTGTTTTGTACCGGTACAGGAATTAACAAAAAAATCGTGTCGGAAGATTAAGGTATGGCATATTGATAAAAGAGGTAGCGCGTGCATGAGTCAACCATCGATTAACTTGCATAAATATGAAGTCAAATGCCTTAGCAGTCACTTAGCAGTCACCCCCGCACGTGTCATGTTGATAGGTTTGCCTATTGCCTGGGCATGTGGAGGTAAGTTTTCGTGCCTTATTTATTTACCACCGTTGTACGCATATTTGGTTTTTAATAGGCGTTTGTGGTGTCCCGACTTCCTTCTCGGGTTTGAACGTCCTGTATTCTCGCGTTTTCATTTTTTTTCATCCCGTGTTTTCGCTATTAGTTCGTTCTTTGGGTGGCATAGCCCCTAGCCCACTTATTTCCACTTGTTCAGTAAGATAAATATGTTCATTGAAACATCATGGAATAACAAGCAATAAGTAGACTCTTACCTTCACTGTCAAACCCATGTGTAATCTCATGAAGAATTATGTAGCCGAGAGTGGCGTAATTTATGTACCTGAAATAAACAGTTAGGCCGCTCTCAGACCGAAACGCACGCTCCAACTGCGATTACTTCTTTTTTTAAAGACGAAAACCCCGAATGCCTCATCAAACGTGAAACTTGATCGTATTGCGTCGAGGGCGAATAGTGCACAAAAATTGTGGTCATTGCATGACGTCATTGCGATGGCATCATGGCGTCACAGTGACTTCGCATCGCATCATAGCTTGGTAGTCCGGTCATGAAGGCGATGCAAAATCAGGTGAGGTTCCTCCCATCTTGGAGGCAATGCGAAGCCACGTTAAGAGCACAAAGCTTCCTAAGAGTAGCTGGGCGGCATCATTACATTGGCTAAGATGAAAACGAAGATAACTCCGAAGAACCACCAGAACGCAGCAACTCGATTGGATCCTGAGTGATCAACTATGCATCACGGAGAGCTTATTCATGCCGCTTCCCTGAATCCATGACCTCATCTTATATGAATTACTTGCCGAATTCGAAAACATATTTATTGACGCGATGACGTAGGAGAAGTTGGTGCCTGTAGGTGGCATAGGCTTCTACTTAAATTGTGGCCTATCTAACAAAACAAAGCAAAACAAAATAAAACAATTGTAAACAAGCAGATCGTGAGTAAAAAAGAAAAAAATTGGTCGCATACCTGGGCGCTTCGCTGCAAAGTACGTCGAAAGACAATAGTCATGCACGGCGTGAGATATGATGCCAACTGGCAGTAGTGTGAGTTTTTTTGACGCAGAGCCACTGGTAGGTGGCAGCACCGGGTCGCTTTTTCATTCATTGCATCGCATTGTCAGTGCAATGTAATAAACACTTCAGTGTTTAGAATTACGTATCCATGAAATTTGTAAATAAATAAACACACTACCTAATACTTAAGTAGTGATGTGTCGCTTCAGACATGCATAGTATTTCCGTTTCGATTGACAATATTCGTAAGTATGAACGCAGCCAGTGCATCAAGATGGGTGTGCGTTGAGCACGAGGTTAAACTTTCACTGAACCATTCGACAGACAGACAGATGGACGGACGGAATGACGGTCGAACAGACAGACAGGTGGACGGACGGAATGACGGTCGAACAGACAGACGGACGGAATGACGGTCGGACAGACAGACAGACAGACAGACAGACAGACAGACAGACAGACAGACAGACAGACAGACAGACAGACAGACAGACAGACAGACAGACAGATAGATAGATAGATAGATAGATAGATAGATAGATAGATAGATAGATAGATAGATAGATAGATAGATAGATAGATAGATAGATAGATAGATAGATAGATAGATAGATAGATAGATAGATAGATAGATAGATAGATAGATAGATAGATAGATAGATAGATAGATAGATAAAAACTTCTGCGTGGAAATATCCCAACAAAGTCTACCCTCTGTAGTAGTATCGCATGGAAAATGAAGCACCTAGCGACGAGTACTCACTGGGCTTGAGATACAAAATTTATCGACTAACAAGAGATTTAACTAGTCGATAGTGTGGAACTAAAATTCTTCTTACTCCTTGATGCAAAGCTGGAATAATGACGCAAACTCGCATAATCAGCATAGAAGAGTTCATTCAAAGCTCATTTACAGGAGAACAGCGATAAGAAGGCGTAAGGGTGAACATTAGAAATACTGCACTTACCTTGGCAGTCCGGGGTCAAAGAAGGGGTCTTGAATAATCCCTGCTGGAATAACTGGAACGAAGGAACGCAGTACAGCGTCAGTGTAGCGTCCTGCGTCTTTATTTCTTCACGCAAACAAATATGCAACAGCTTCCGAACCACGATTAAGGATGATAAAATGTCTTTTTTATGTGCGTTCGCATCCTCCAACAGATCTGTAACCATTCTTTGCTGGATGAAATTCCTAATCGACATGCTTGCCGAAATGTATGCATAAAGTAACAGCGCAATTAGCGCTGTCCCATCTCAGTGATTCGTGATATGCGCACATCATGAACGGAAACCTGCGGGCGCACTTTTATGCCAAGATGCGTTTAATTAGTGCCTCACCAATTTTGTTGTCCGTCCGCGAGTAATAGGCGTTCACCATGGCAGCGTTGAATGGCTGGCTGAAATTTAAAAAGCACGAGGTTGAAAATAACCACATTTAGAAGCATATCAAACACAAGCGGTGTCCAAGCTTGTTAAGGTGATGCATTCAAAACCACGTTTTCTTTTACTGTACAATTCTAACGTCACAATACCGGTACCTTTCCATGTTTAGTACATTTGTGGCGTTGCCGTTGCCTAAAACTATAGGAATTGAAGCTTGCGTTGGGTCAGTTAATCTAAGTGATGGGTAATTAGATCAGGTAACCAAGGTGATGGGTAATTTAAATAGATGGTTAGAGAAATGTTGCTTCTACTTGGTGTGTGCTTAAACATAAAGCATGTTCGTAAGAAATTATATACTTATGCTATCTGCAGAGTAAGTCTCTTAATCGCTGCCCACCTTTTTGAACAGTAACATTGGACAAGGGCCACATGTAAGCTGGCCAACGCGAAAACCTCGACAGAGACTTCGCGTTTTGTAGCCATCTACCATCGAGCTCGCAGTAATGATATAATACAGAAATATTAAAATTAAGTGTTTAGCTTGAGGGAATCTGGTCCGGCGCACTGTGATATATATATAATAATAATTACTTTAGTTGTACCGTATTTACTCGATTCTACCGCGCCCTCGATTGTAACGCGCACCCGATTTCCACCGCGAAAAAAAAAAAAAAAACGTAAGACATCGATTGCAACGCGCACCCATTTTTTTTTCGCTGGCCCGCACGATCACACCACTCGAAAAAACGATTCCTTTCGGGATTGTCTTCCATCTAAATATGAGGTACGGGCGAAGCTTGTGCCCATCTGACGTGTAACAGACCATTGCCGTCACTGTAGTTTTACCGTGGACCGATGTCAGCACGCGAACTTGCTTTGCCTCCTTCTTCTCGACAGTTGTGGTGCCAGGCATGTCGAAGTAAAGAGGCGTCTGATCGGCATTCCCGATTTGCCCAAGCAGGTAGCCGTTGTTGCGCCGCAAGTTTAGGACGAACCTCTGTAAACTGTGAAGCTTTTCATCGTACTCCTCCGCAAAAGTTTTCGCATATGCATGTTCCCCTTCGGAGGGAAAAGGCTTTCCTCTTCATATAGTTAATTAGCCAGCACCTGCTCGCTTTAAACTGGCTCCGCATTAGACTTTTTTCTAAGACTAATTGCATAGCCCGCACTTGGAGCAGTTCTGTCGTCACGGGCCGCTGTGCCGCTCGCTCCTCAAGCACATACTCGCGGAGCAGCTCTTTAATTTGCGGAAACCGACCCTACTGTGGTTCACTGAAGCCTTTGCGTGAAGCTTTGCTGTCGACAATCTTCTGCTTTTGTTTCCGCCGGTCCCGCACGCACGTTTCGGGAACGACCGCGATGCGGCCCGACTTCCGTCCGTTTCTGCACACGCGATGACTTTTCTTTTAAAAGCGGCATCGTGGTGCACTTGAGTTTTTGGAGTCGGCCCTTTCACGTCGTCGATGCTAATGCACTACTAGATGACGAACTCCTCAGCACACGTACGAAGTGCCGCACATGGTAAACACATAGGCAGAAATAGCCAACGCACCATGCCGACGCACGTAGGGGGCGGTCATTTTGGATTTGCGATGGCAATAGATTGACCGTAATTTTTTGTTCGTACTCGATTCTAACGCGCATGCGATTTTTGAACTCGCTTAACCGGAAAAAAGGTGCGCGTTAGATTCGAGTAATTACGGTAAATGCAAAACAGCGATATGATTATGAGCCACGGCGTATTATAGTGGATTGTTTTCAAAGTAATTTCGACCCCTGGGGGGGGGGGGGGGAGGGTGTCTGCAAGCATCTATATATCTAAGCTCATGCGGGTGTTCTTGCATTTCACCCAATCGAAATGCGGAAGCCCGGGCTGTTGCCAGAATTTTTTTTTCGGGCTGAAAGGGGAGAGTTGTTGGAAGGAGGCTGAATTATGCGTACTTTTAAGTATATTCATACGTGCATTTGTGCGTGAGCATGTGTTTACGCACACAGAAAATGAAAATTTTGGAGAGAGCCCCCCCCCCCCTTCCCTTCTTTATTCTCGAAATTATCATTACTTTCTACAGTAGCAGATTAATCGCGACGCCATATAGGAGACTAGTTGCGTTAAAGTCCGCGATATTGTCGGCTCAAATGCGGATTTCTACGAGCCTGCACCGATGAGCACGCACTACAGGCTGACCATCGAGAGCCGGACAGACGAGGTGACTCCTCCTTCGGAGATGCGTGCACGAGCGGAACTATGAACATCAAGGCGGTCATTGGTCCAGCATTTCATATTAGGAACCCGCGGTAACGCTTGTGGTCATCATAAACGGGTATACGCCACAGACATTAAGCAAGTCCCATCTACTCGCCGTTGGTGCACTAAAGGTGAATGCAATTCTTTAGCCCAACAAACTAGTATACTGCCACAGAAATGTGTGAGGCCGAATGCGTATATGCCGTAACATTGGTCAAGTTCCCCCTACTCACAACTTCCATTTAAAAAGGAAGACAACAACAGTTAAGCCAACAAACCACATGCGCGCTTACCGTAGTCTCGCCACTTTCGCATGACAAGTTTTGGTTATAAAAAAGGTGGTGGCAATACTACCATCTCAAAGCATAACAAAGAGTGTTTCATAAAGAGCAGCGATACAACATATGGGATAATCTTCAGCGAATTCTTACTTGTAAACTTAGTGCAAGTACTGGTATGGTCAAAATGCAATAAAGCCACAGGTCTTCTACCATTTGAAAGGGTGTTATGACATCACAGCACCTTTTTTTAAAGGGTGCACTCGTTACACCCTTTGAAATTTTTGCTCTGCACCCTTTTCTTAAGGGTGCTGAGCTCTGCACCCTTTCTCAGCACCCTTTTTTGAACATCCAATAGGGAGCAAAGGGTGCTCGTCTGGCGACAAACTCAATTACACCCTTAAGGGTGAGATTTGGTTTAGTGTGTATAGCCATCTCAAAGCTACACAAATAGTGTTTAATGGAGGGCAGTGACGCAACATACCTGAAATACTTGTGAAACGTATACGAATGCGCTAGCCTGACTAAGGGAGCGCCACCATTTGCGCTGTTTCACCAGTGTCCACGAAGCAGAGCTGGTTGAGTTTTCGGTGCCTGATGCCGCGATTCGGTCATCTCGGTGGGGCTTCTCCGGACTTCTTAAATTGCATCCCGCTACAGCGTATTTTGTAGGAGAATCGACGTTGTGCGTGGTGGTGGTAGTGGTTAGAAGATGAGAAAGGGTACCTAATTTCTGCAACCCGGTCGGGAGCACGGCGCAGTGCCTATTGTGCGTGCGATGCGAAGGGTACTTACCCTTCCCCCGGTCTGGCTTTCCCAAGCAGGGTGCGCAGCTTGTTTTTCATGTGCAGCTGTGCGCATGACACGTAGTAGTACACGAACGGGTCATCGTTGAATCTCTTACCCTGCACGCGGAACGCGACAATCACTTTGCGCCAAACTTGTGGAACGTAATTGATTTCTCTATTTAAGTCGCATACCAGTTGGATAATACAAACAAAGTGCAGTATACGCGCGTATTTACACGGGACAACTTAAAGCGAAACAATGAACACACCTTCGTTTCCTATACCATCTGCAGTACTGGTAATCTCGGCGTAACCACGACTCGCACGCTTATATCAGAGCCAACACGATCTGCAGAGACAATTTTTGTCACGAGATGATATAGATATATCATACAATCCCACAGATTAGTCGTCATGATAACAAAAAATTTATGGACCTATCTTTCTCCCAGTCACATCAGGCGTTTTACAAGTATCTGTCCTTGGTCCTCTCCTATTCTTAATATATATATTAAACCAAATATTGACGACTTGCCCGATCATAAAAGCTGCAGCACTCGCATGTTCGCCGATAACTGTGATAACTGTGATCACCCTATCATTAACCTGCATGATCACCTAGATCTCCAAAGAAGTCTTACCAGCGTGCTTAATTGATGTAACGCATGGTTAACGACCCCAAATCTTTGTAAATGTAACCTCGTGTCCCTTTCCCGTCCTCACAGCCCGTATCTTTTCCAGTATTCCGTCGTTAACAGCCCATTTGAATCGGTACTATCTTATAAATATTTTGGAATAACCTCATCGTATGACTTACCATGGCGCACCCACATCGCTAATATAGTATCAGCGTCCAATAAAGCACTCGATTTACTCAGACGCCATCTTCGACTTGACCCCCCCCCCCCGCTATGTTAAATTACTTGCCTATCAATTACTCATCAGACCAAAAATTAGAATATGCATCTGCCATATGGAGCCCACATCAAGCGTAGCAAATAAATGCATTAGAAGCTGTACAAATTCGTGCCGCCAGATTCATTTGCTCATCTTACTCATACGATATCAGTATTTCATCTTTGAAAGCCATATCTGGACTACCACCCCGTTCTTTGTTTCACCGCACTGCAACTCTCATGCTCTATCACAAATTATTTAATTCCTCGCTCAATCAACCACCTTATATAACAGCTGCAACACGCATATTGTTTCATCGAACCAGCCATCCATTTCCGTTTGCCCACCCATCATCACGCACCACTATACTTTTTCTGCATCCTTCTTTTTTTGAGCACCTACAGTCAGGAACGGCCTTCTCCGGGACACCGTCCCCTTCGCCTCATCATCTGCCTTGCAAGATCGTATTATTGATCATCTTCAACACTAAAACTACATTCACTGCATTTGTTAACATGAATACAATCCCACCCCTTATGTAGTGCCCCTCCAAGGAAGGGGGGCCTTTAAGTTAATAAACTGAGCTGAACTGAACTGAATGTTGACGGTTCGCACTGCAACCAACTCATTTTATTGGTTACCAACAAGCCCACTTTGCGACTTTTGTCCCGTTTAAATCCATGAGCATTGTACCCAGACGAGAAACGCACGAGAAGGTGAGATACAGTCATACGCTTCTCTGTGACATCATTTCAGGCGCTTTTCTAGTGTAATTATGGAATACCAACTATCCCGATACGCTACCTTTTTAAAACACACCTAAATAGGCTGAAATCTCATTGATACGGTTTTACATGTATCAGTTATTATTACATTCAAGTAATGACAGCGATAATTGCTTTGTGTTAGCTATATAATAGACCGGGATTGGTTCCGAGCCCATTTTCGCTACATTCCGGTCGAGTATACCAAATCCAAACACGACCTGTTCAGCGTGCTTGGTTGACTTTATCTCATAGAAGACGCACTGCACACAGTGACGTTTGTTATGTCCTCGTCGGGAACTGATCAAATTGATCAACTCAGAAGCCTGATACTTGTGTCCTTTCGCAGCGCTGTCTGCTTCAAGGCGCTTCCGCTGGGCTTCTTGGGCGAGAACTGCTCAATTCGTTGGGCACTGTGGTCAGGCTGTTTTGCTGGTCTCTAATTTCCGTGGTCTACCATGGCAGTCTTGTACCAGCTGAATGAGTTGCTAGACGAGTCTACCTTTCATATTTAAAAGCGGGGAGAAGGAACGTGCTTTGTACATTTTGCAGGTGCAGTTATCGTCCGTTATGCGCTTTGCGTTCACTTCCAAGAGAGATTCGATTGATTGCTTGATTGATTGATTAATTGATTGGTTGATATGTGAAGTTTTTTTGTTTCAAAACCATCAAATGATTATGCGAGACGCTGTAGTGGAGGGGTAGAAAACTTTGACTGCCTGGGGTTCTTTAACGTGAACCTAAATCCGAGCAGACGCAGCATTTTCGCCTACATCGAAAATGCAGCCGCCGCAGCCAGGATTCGATCCCGTGATCTGTGGGTCAGCAGCCAAAGACACCACCGCGGCAAGGCCACGAGATATTCAAATCACGTCAAACGACACCTTCGAAAGCAGCTGCAACCTAATATTTACAGTGAACGCGTGGGACGGTGTTCCCAATGCCCACAGGCGCCGTATAATCCATCACGCGGTTTTGATGCTTGTATCGAAGTTTTATTTACTGAAACGAATACTGTGCTTTATGTTTATCACCTCATTGCAAAGAGAGATACCTGGCGCCGTTATCATCCACTGTGGGATTTGCACTTCACAGGAGGGTTTCGCATGACATCAAACGGTTTTGTCGAAACCTGGAGTTTTCTGTTTACGCCACCCTAAGCTTTGATTGATTTGTGGGGTTTAACGTCCCAAAACCTCGATATGATTATGAGAAACGCCGTAGTGGAGGGCTCCGGAAATTTCGACCACCTGGAATTCTTTAACGTGCACCCAAATCTGAGCACATGGGCCTACAACATTTCCGCCTCCATCGGAAATGCAGCCGCCGCAGCCGGAATTCGAACCCACGCCCTACGGGTCAGCAGCCGAGTACCTTAGCCACTAGACCACCGCGGCGGGGCGCTACCCTAAGCTTACAGTCCCACCTAACTTGCCACTTTTATGGTACCTAGTTTCTTTATCGCTACCGAAAGCCTACCGGTCCGAGGTGAACATATTTTATCAGAGCGCACGAGTACGCGGACACAAGATAAGAAGGGACAAACCGCAGTGCTGACTCGCAACTGAATTGTTATTGGCAAAACATGAATGGAAGATATGTTCAAGTACGGTCAACATAGAAGGACTGATCCAGCTTTCAGTCCTTCTACCAGTCAGAGTGTCTACTCATAGAATGGCAACGCCAAAAACACCGCGAGACGCGTTCATGATAAGAATATTTCTGCACGCAGCAAAGTATGAAGTCTTACACACACGTTTACAACACATGCTGCAAACAGTGAGCTTTTCATTCTTTTACTCCCCCCCCCCCTATCTGCCCTGGACCTAGACCGAGGAAAATTGCCTGACTTGCTTTAAATAAAGTTTATTCTGTAACGTGATTTATTCACGCACAAACGAACTGGGAGGCCAAAGAACGTCAGTATATACAGACCGAGGAACATCAGCAGGCCGAAATCCAAGCAAACGCAAGCTCGGGTCGCACGCGTTAGAGAGAGAAAAATAAAGATGCAAGGAAAGGCAGGGAGGTTAACCAGACGCACATCCGGTTTGCTACCCTGCACTGGGGAAGAGATAAAGGGGGGAAAAGAGGTTGCAGAGAGATGAGAAGGTACACACAATCACGAGCACACTCGGGGAGCACAGACAGTCTACAAGCGGTCGCTCAGGTTCGTTGACTTTAGGTAAAGTAGCAGAGCTTTAGTTGCTTTCTGCGCAACTGAGGCAGATGCCCAAGGTCCTAGTATCTTCTGCACACAAAATGGTCCGGGGTCAAGTTGATTCAAAACCATCCGGAGCTGGCATCGATGTGTGTCGTAGCAAGCGCAGCTGCACAGGAAGTGTTCGATGGTCTCTTCAGCTCCGCAGTAGTCGCATGTAGGAGTGTCTGCCATACCAATGCGAAAGGAGTACACCTTTGTAAATGCAACACCCAACCAAAGGCGGCATAACAGTGTCGCATCGGAGCGGGAAAGTTGTGATGGTAGCTTTAGCTTGAGCGAAGGATCCAGTTCACAAAATTGACACCTTTGGAAGCTGGTAGACGACCAGAACGTGCGTGTGAGATCTCGAGCCAGCAGGTAAAGCCACGCGTTAGAGTTACTGTATATGCTACCTGCTAACTAAAGGTAGCATATGGAGTAACTCTAGCACGCGTCTATCACCAACGCTGCGGCTTGCCTTGCTGGCTGCTTCATCGTCGTCTCGCATTGTTCCCTACAGTTCATACATTCATTCTCATAACGCAAATATAATGCTGGAGTTTGTCAGTATGTTTTATCATAGTTTCAACGATGATGTATAGTCAGACGTTCTGGTCAGTTCTCGGTCTATTTTAACAGCAACGGGATAAGCGTCCGTAGCAATATGGGACCTGCAGACAAAATATGGTACACCGCTAACTGGTTGGTTATTGTAATTTTGCTGAATAAAAGCAGGTTGGCTGCGTTAAATATGACGTCCATCGATGCCTTTGCGCAGGCGCTGACGCCCTGCGAACATTGGCTATTGGGTTTTCCATCGAGTACGCTTCTTTCCATTATTTTCTGGGCCTTGCTTCCGATAACAAGACTTTCGAATGACACGTTTCGTTTTCCGGTATCGATGTAATTGTGGCCCGGTTGTTTGAACCATCCACGTCCCTGACAATAACTTTTGACACCTGCCAATAACTATATATGTGATGTGAAGGAAAAATTCATTTTCATTTTGATACAAAAAACAAGAAAGAAAGAAACAAAGTGAGGCCATATGACCGAAATGCATGACGAAGGCCTCGACTCTCGTGTGCAGTTTGACATTATATAACGCATCACTTAACACCTAATATTACCGACAGATATTAAGCACATATGAAGTAAACTTGTATACCTAGTTAACGAGCAGGTCACAACAGAGTAAACATGAAGTAAGCGCTAGTGCGAAACACTAGCACCAACATTCCACCCTTTTTGCGCGTGTAAAACCTGCGAAGTGAAATGTGCGCAGTAATAAGGTGCCGCAAACAGCTCTAACTTACCGTTGGTGTGTACGAAGCAACCTTTTTTTCATCCATGATCCACTTAGGATAGCCAACCACAGAATTCAACTTCGTAAGCTGAAAATCGTACAAAAGGTGAGCAAACACACCCAGATGTTTACGAAATGTTGCACCTAACTTGTCATAAGCACAATTTCATAGCGAAAGCTGTTATGAGGTTCCATCGACAGCCGGCTTCGGTGGCTTAGAAGTTCGCAGCCAGTGTGCGTAACCGTCTTACCGCGCGTGATGAGATAATTATATATTCAGAATACAGCGGGGTTTGAACCCAGACCCTCTGCGTATGAGTAGACCCATCTATCGCAGAACCACGCGAGTGCTTCCAAATGCTTCGCAAAAAATATTCTGTGTCGACTTCATGCATGTAAACCGTGCATTAGTTCGCGCAAGAGGCCTACGGGATGGCTTTATGCTCTCCCATAGTACAATACCAAGTACTCTAAATCGTTAATCACTTTTTCTAAACACACCTGTCGGACAAAAAAAATGCGTTGATTGATATAATATAACGCGGCAGAAGAGTGATACTGCAACCAGGCGTCGCACAATGTGAAGTGTGCAATGAGTGCGTGATTCAAAGCCTTCTACCCATTACAGATGGTTCAGCCATAGTTATTCACCATCTTCAGCTATCAATGAAACTCGCATATTGCCTAGATGTGTTGCGAATACACTGTTACCCCGCAGAAGGATGGATGATGGTAAAGTGGGTGTCTTTAACTTGGCCAAAATTATGATTAGGGAGTCCCTTGCAAGTGTACTTTTGTTAGTATATACCCCCAACAGCTTAGCAACAGGATCTAAAGCGATCACTGCTCGAGCTTAGCTGTGCTGTGCGTTTCGCACACACCTGGCACTTTTTTTTTCTTTTCAATTTTTTTAGTTCGGCGCATTCTGAAGAAAAGCTGGAAGAAATTAAACAGCGCAGCTATCTTAGCATAGATGAAATATTCCGCAGCTTAGGAACAAACGCAACAACTTTCTAACGTGAAAGCGTTTTATGGCGGGGCTTACCACCATAAAACGTGCAGATCCACTATGACGTATTACGTCATGCATATGACGTTGTAAATTATATACTAACATATTACAAAGAAAAAAAAAAGGACGATAGGAAAAAGTTCCATCGGGAACTTCGAGCCTACATACGACAGCTCGCTCCGCAGCGCGTGGCGTAAAGCCATTAGGCCACGGAGCATACGCTGTCCGTCTTGCTCGGCAAGCTATTTATATACACGGTTTTCTTTTCGACTCATGGGCGCCACCATCTTGGACTGATAAGCGTTTTTTTGTATATTTTCTATGTCGCAATATCACATGATCGTAATCGTGAAACGTTGAATTTGCCGGAAAAGCGATTTCGTGCGTGTGAGTTCACCGTAGCACTGTTTGTTTATTTGATACGAGTACTAAGCCACAACGTCATCAGTCCAAGATGCCATAGGCGCTCCTCAGAGCTCAGAAACTTCTGCAGGTTTAAGTTATCAGTAGCGAGATGACGCGAAGGGGCGTGCTTTACAAGTTATCGCCCCTCGCATTGAGATGCCCGCGCGTCACCCCTGCAGACGTAATCGCACGTGCGCGCTTCTCTTGATTCAGGGGAGCACGAAGGTCATTTCGCTCCATTCAGGGGAGCACCAAGGTCCCTTCGCTCCATTCAGGGGAGCACCAAGGTCACTTCGCTCGCGGCCGCGCTTACAAAAGAAGCGTGCTGCTCACGCACGAAGTAGTACGAATTGTGACGTTTGTTTGCACTCGTCCTGTGTATACGTGCATGTTCGTATCGTGGGTCTTTCATGCTGTTTAAACAGCGCGCTTTAAGCGTGGCGAGATGGGACAGTGTTTCGTCGGCTCTCGTCCCGTTTATGCTGATTTCGTGTGTGCTTTTTTTTGCTTGAGGTAAGTGCTGCAAGTTTTGAGCTGCTCGTCGTGTTTCGCGTAACATGACAATTTGTTGCTGTATGCATTTGTTCCTCCACCCTTGTGGCGAAACAATGGACAACAAACGCTGAACTTCCTCCGTGAAGGAACGTTCCACTTTCATGTTATATTGATTCCTAGACAAAAGGATCAGTCGCATGTTTTTATCGATTATTATCCTCTAAAGTTGCTGTCTTAAAATTGTAGTTAGGCAATTCCCGCTATTTAGCCAGCCTAATGGACTGAAAGTCACGTTAGCATTCATGAAGTATTCCAATGTTTCAGAGTAAGTGCTAGTAGTTTTGCATTAAACTTTCTCTCTCGAATAAGTATCTAAAAAAAGAGTTCACAAAACCTCGTTATTTGCAGTCTAGGTGGATCGAAAAAAGACATTCTGGCATTCTGCATACGGCTCAGAATACTGGGTCAACTCGACAAGCTTAGCGAAAGTGTATGTTTTTTGTGTGTACTAGAGACATGACGCGTTTGAAAGAAATTTAGATGCATGAAAAATAATCCGCTTCTGGTTTATTTTTCTATTCATATACACCTATTTTAATAGAAAGGTAAATGTCCAGCAAGATACGCATTTTTTCCTCCGCAGTTCATATACGGCACATAATTAAAGCCACGAGAAAAATGAATGTATTTCATTATCAACGATCTCACGCTTCGCGCTGTTTTATTATGATGACCTGAGCGTTTTGTAATACAAAAAAAGTCACAGTTTTGCCGCAAGGGCAAAGCAATGAATGCGACAGCAACAACTTGAAATGTCACGCTGAGAACAGCAAGTAGATCGAAACGCGCAGCGCACAAATTACGCACGGAAACAATACACACATGGCGAGAGCGAACTAACGACATTTACCGCTCGACACTGAACGCGCTTTTTAAACGAAAACGACGCACGAAACGTCATCACAGGTACAGATGAGTGCAAACTAACAAGTGTCCCAGTTGTTATACCTCGCTGTGTATGAAAAGCACGCCTTTTTTTTAACGCAAACTGGACCTGTGCAGAGACCGAAGTGACCATTGTGGACCCGGCAACTAACGCAATCGTTGCAATGAAAGCCGAAGGCACACTATTCTCTCCACCCAAGGATAAGTGCGCGCGTCCAAGCATCTACATCCCTTTTTGCAGGGTGAAGTACGCGTCACAAATAAGCGCACGTTGGTGCATCGTGACGAGCTGTGCGCCAAGTGCGGGTGGTTTTTTCTTTCTTTTTTTGAGTGTAAATACATATAGATAGGTATACCTATACGGTGAATGATGGCGACGGTGGCAGTAACGGCGAAAAACCAGCCGAGAATGTGCAAGCAATTGCTATCGCAATAAAAAGAGGATTTAAAAAAACGTGGTGTCAACGGTACTTCAATGGCATCGCAAGGGTGTCTTCTGTTTTTTTTTGTGAGTTTCATTAGTATTATTTTATAATCATACATAAACGCGCAAGGGCACAGAAGAAATAGGGAGAGAGCAGGGTGGCCACAACGTCGGCCTACTCTTAAAAAAGTATAGGAAACGTATGGAGGAAATCAAAACACGATGTTAGATATGACGTATGCTGGAAAAAAATAAGTAGAGATACGCAATACTTACGGGCAGCTTCAAGTGACATAACGTTACAAATGTTGGTTAAATAGCGGCACAGATGGCATAACCACTCCTGCCCGGCACTTTCGCCAACGCTCGGAGCACTCTTCCTCTTCGCTCACCAGCTCTACCTGTGCTCGAGCGCGTGCTGCCATTGGACACTTCCTTCTATCAATCCAGCCAATAGGCGTTGCTGGCAATTCTCCTCTCCACCCCACTTGCTTCGACAACCGTCCTAGCTAGTCCTTCGCTCTCTTTCTCCCTACATAGTCTCACCCTCTCCACATACCTACCTTTTCTCTACCAGGCTCAATACACCAGGAATCCTTCTCACCCGCTTATCTCTAACTCTTTCCTTCCATCTTGTCATGCTCCGCCCCCACACGATGTACTGAAACTGTGGACGACGATCCCCACAGATTCCCCTTGACTCTTAAACAGCTCCAGTGTTAATCAGTGTATATAAACGGGAGGCTAAATCACTTTCATTTTATAAAGTTAGCAGGTCTCAACACGCTTCGTCACGTCCAGGAGCAGATACCTTCGAACACAGGCAATCATCAAGGCTCGTATGCTTATGTATAAGGAGTCTATCATCCTAAATTAGCAGTGCCTTTATAAACCACGGTTAACCAATTCACGCACTGAACACACAAGAAAAAGATACGGATCTTTTAGTTACCTTTTGCAAAGCTTGCATTTTCGATAATTCGTCCATCCACTTGCTGTTTTTCAGCTCTTCAAAAAATAAGCTCTGCTGGAAATCTATCATTACCTTGGCCTGAAAGCACGTGCGGAAGACACGAATGAAGCATATTCGAAGCATGTATGTACTACTGATCGAAAGGTGCCTCATTTATGAATAAGAGGCTTCGTTTGCGTTCAACACTTCAGATAATTTACAGCATAGAATAATCTTCAAGACACTGTTAACTTCTGAATTGTTATTGCGTTCGCCATGCTGTCAGCTGTAGGCTTGCGCACACGGGAGGCAGGGGGCGCCCCCCCCCCCTCTAAGGAGGAGAAGGAGGGAAGGGTCGAAAGTGGCTCATGCTATCACTCACCCGGACTTGTCATGGCAATGTTTAAAGGGGCCCTGTAACTCTTTTTGAACGGGGTCGGAAAACGCTGCCAATAGGTAGTGAAGGCACCCAAGAACACGTGATCTAAAATTAGAGCGCAGCACGCAGCGTGGAATTCACAATAGATGCCTAGTCGGCTGAAAACTGTTTTCTCTTCTCCCGACAAATTACGCTACAAGCTTAAAGACCACTTGTCAAACCTATTGTATCAGTCATTGGTTTATTGAAGCATGGCGAGCTCGGTCATTACTCGGGCCACGGCAGGAGTCCGTGACTTGTCCACAATTGCGTCCACTGAAAGCCACATATTAAAAAAAAAAGCCCTCAAGGCCACTAGGTAGCGCGTGACGTATTTTCTTTCCCCGTGCCATATTCCCAGCTTAGCGTCCAGCGCTTTCGCCAGGATGAATGCAATCGCAGCGTGCGACAAATCTTTGTGACTCTTCTTGTACAGGACGGCTTCTGATAATTTCTGCGGCTGGTGAATACAGTTCGCCCAAATAATCTGACATGTCAACTGCTTTCGACTGCAGCCAAAGATGACACACTGGATCAAAGGATGACATAACCGATTATTGAGGTGAACTCTATCACAAAAGGTGCGAAGCTGTGTGTGATTACACCATCCATAGCCTTATCTGTAGAAACAGCTCGATTTTCTGGGGTGTTTGCTGAGAAGTGATGATATAGAATTGTTAATTTTATATCAGCTTAAAGCTAGATTTCCTGATAACGTGTGCTGTGCTACACGCTTACGGTTTTGTCAAGTGTGCGGCGTCAGCGTGTGCAGCCATGAGCTATGTGCCGTGTAGGATCACGCAATGAAAAAAGCTGGAAGCTTAGTGCTCATATAGTGTTGCTCGTTTTTCCCTTTCTGACCGTAGCATATTTCCTTCACGCTCAAACTGAGCTGCGCTATAGCAATGCCTTGAGAAGGACAGTGACGTAGCCAAACATATCTTTAGGGCATTGGGAGGGGAGGGGGTCAACCACGTTTTAATAATGTTCCCTCATATACAGACATAGAATGCTTAAATATTTCTGCAGTGGCGGTTGTGGGGGGCTGGTGAGCATTATAAATTTTCAGCTACCCCAGTGGTGCGGACCATGCATGTAGTAATAATTATTATTGAGCTTGACGTCCCGAAACAACCAGTGTGATTATGAGAAACACCGTGGTAGAATTCTCCAGAAATATTGATAGCCTGGAGTTCTTTAACCCGTACCTAAATCTAGGCAGATGAGCCTCCAGCATTTTCGCCTCCACAGAAAATGTGCAGATGGACTGCAAGCTAGGCCAGTAGTTGTACGCTGTGTTAAAATATGTTCAAGTGCAGAAAAACGTGGCCGCCGTGGCCGGGATTCGATGCCGCGACCTGCAGATCAGCAGTCGAGAATCATAGTCACTGGACCACCGCGGCGGGGGGTGCAGGAGCATGTTCATGTCGTTAATTTGTGGTCGAAAACTTGGGAAATGGGTGGGTGATGCATGGGCTCGCTCTTGTGTGTTTTTCCGTAGAGAATGAATTAAGGTAGTTCAATTTGATCAAACAAGCTCTCAGAAACTTCTACTCTCACCAAACGGTGACATTTGTCTAGGTAGCTTGAGAAATAAATTCGGACACGCAGACATAACTATCACAAATTATAAAGGCAGACACACACACACACACGCACGCACACACACACACACACACACACACACACACACACACACACACACACAAAGGAAATTGGTATCTCACCATGCTCATGCTTGACTCGTTGAAGAAGTTAAGGATGTAGATCATGCTGTACGGTGATGGCGCCGCATTCGCCAGGGCGGTGTTGCAAACTATGGTCTGCGGCGGGCTGGTCCGCTTCAGTTTCCACAAATGGCTCTTGAAAGAGGCGCCCATACTCTGGACGCTGGGTAACACGTCCTTTCCCACAGTTTGCAACGCATGCCAGACCAGTACATTCGTAACGATGTGCCTGAAAAAAAACTAACTCAATAAATTCAAAAAAAAACTAGCGCCTTTTTTTTTTCTACAGTAAATCGCTCAGAGATACACGTGAACTGTATTTTGGAGAGTCACACCTCCCACGACAATCCGGAGAGTGCAATGATATTCGAGAGGGAAGCTTACGTGTATAAGCACACGTCGCAAGTTATGCGTCACTAAAATGTGTAACATGACTTCCTTCTTTTTTAGTAATGTTCGCATCTTTAAGTGTATATTTGGAACGTTACAGAAGGTAATTGGAACTAGCTTCAGGTTCTCTCTCATTTTTGCACGGAATCATGAATTTCTCCAAAAGATAGAAAAGAATAAAGGTGCTGATAGCATTGCTGGCTTACTTTTCCCATTCCCCGCAGGCCTTAAGCAGAAGACGGACCTTGGTCGGTTCTTTCACTAGCACCGAAGCGTTTCTGCGTAGTTCAAGGTGGGCCGATTTGAATATGTTGTCCATTATCAGAAAGATGTCCACCATTGACTGTCTCTGCAAAACAAATCATGGAAAGAAACAGCTTCGCCGCAAGGTCTAAGCAATGAATGCGATAGCAACAAGCTATCATGTTATACAAAGTAAGGGAGGGTCTCTTTGGTCCGATCTCGCGGAATACAGGGCGTTGGTGTAAGGGAGTGCGGCCGCTCAATACGGCGAAGCGGTTTTTGTGCTCTCTGTCATCCTAACGCCAAGTAAGCAGTGCGAGCACAGCACGCACAAAGGTATACGAGCCATTTGCTGATGTCTGTATAGATAGCAAATGCCCAAGCACTCCTGATCCACGCCCTTATGATTAAAGTTCTCGAAGTTGCTGCTCAAGCAACTCAGCCCCGCCCTTTCTCTGACTCCCTTCACGCACTCCTAAAAAAAAAGAGTGGGGCACTATCTTTCTGTTTTAGAAATGAATGAAAAAAAATATTTCAGAAGAGTTCTCCCGGCAAAAATGTAGTTTTCTGTCCAGGGCCCTTATAGGCATTTGCCATCCTGCGAGCTCGGTCGATAAGTTTGAGCTGCTCTTAAAGGGGTAATGACACACACAAAAAAAATTTCCTCGCGTTTTTCTGCTTCAATGCGTTTCTGTAGGGCTGTTAGTAATTACACGAGACATCGTTTGCTGCAGCACGCCATAAATAAATAATTACAGGCCCCTCATTGTCATTCAGTTTCAATTTCGGTTTGAGAGAGTTCCAAAATCTGGGTGCGACTGTCGCCACCTAGCGTGTGCAACTCGTGGCCACGTCAGCACACGGAACTCTGACGCGCTTCCGCACGATCCGCATCAAGAATTACTTTCGTATAGGAAATGGCATGTCGTCAAACACGAAACTTTCTAAGCGTGCGCCACGGCCATGTTCTTGCAATCAGCCGCCGAGAAATATAGACTTCGGGAACAAACGCGGCAAAAGAAAAATGATGGCTATGACGTCATCATATCTTGTTTTGTTGACCGCAGCGTGGTGACGTGAGGGAAATAGGGAGTCTCCTCAGGGTCCCCTCAGAAGGTGTCTATAGCGCTATGGAGTCGGTCGCTCACGCAAACTTCAAAATTTATTTTAAATGCCTTTCAAGCTGTATTCGCTGTTGATATCTTGCAAATTATATACGAATGTTCACAAGAATTGACCCCATAGGCTATCTCGGCCCTGAAATTTTGTGTCAGTACCCCTTTAAGGCTCCGAGTAGGACAGCGCAGCCCTAGACTGCTCCGGTGTTGGTGTGCTGTTTCTTGGCGCCATATTTGATTGTTTGTCAGGGCCATGGAACGGGACAAAGTGTTGGGTGTTTCCTACTTGAGGAGCAATTGACGCAATCGACAGCAGACCTCACCCCCCTGGTTGATGTTATCGCATACGCCCTCCGTGTGACGGTAGTTGTTATTATTGTTACGCAATTATTGAATAGATAATAAAAAATAACATTCATGGTGTTCGGAAGTTACTATCACTTCAAGAAAGGTTAAGGACGCAACCCATGCTTAAAGGTCATTTCATCTCTGGTTTAGCCATGTTCATCGCCACCGCTCACGCACTTTTAGTCACGGATAGAACGTACGATGCGCGCGACGATGTTATCCACTTGGTCTTGATGCCTAACACGACGGCGACAGCGAAAACCCATCCAGAGTCCATGCAGTTGCTATCGTGACAAAATCCACATATCTTAAGGAATATTCTCTGGTCGGCGAAAATGCAGTAAATATCCAACGCAGTGCGTACTCAAATAAAACCGAATGGAATCCCTTTCGACGCTCCTTCCGCGACAACAAGAAGTGTGGGGCTGTGTGGTAGCGCGAACAATCTGAAATTCAGAGTGTAATCTTGGAATGTTTTCTTTTAGTAGCTATAACACAGTTGTAATTCCACTTAATTTCGCACCACGCAGACGACACAGCAAAAAATATGCTGCATGAGTGAATCAGTACATCATATAACGTCTACATTTGTACTGTGAAGCATTTTTTTAATCTCTACACAAGGTGTTACTAAGTCTCACCGGGTCAAGCAGTGACTCGTCAGATCTTCTCTTTGTCACAGACACACAAAAAATGTCTTCTAAATGCCACTTTTACATTCGTTTAAACATCATCATCATCATCCGGAGCAGCAGCAGCCTGACTACGCCTATTGCAGGACAAAAGACTCTTCCATGTTGCGCCAGTGAAGTCGGTCCTGTGTTTTCTGTGGCCACTTTACGGAGAACCAGCGCTGGAGTTACACCTCGCGCTGGAGTTACGCTGAGTATACGTGCACCTTGCGGCGGATCCCTACTACTGGCTGCTTCTCAGCCAGCTCGCCAGGGCGGCGCATCGTGTATATTTTAGGCAATTTTCGGCGCACCATCTGGGCAGCGCTGGTGCCCCATACCCACAAGCTTCCTCATTTCAGCTGTCCACCCAACTTTCTGTATTCCCCTCAACCACTTGCCATCACTGGGAATCCAGTCAGTTACCTTTAATGACCAAAGGTTACCCCTCCCACGCGCTACGTGCCCGGTGTCACAAAACGAGCGCTCAAAAAGTGCGCGCCGCCAAATTCTCGCGATAAAGCGCGAGAGAGACACCGCGAGGTCAACGATAAAAAAAGAGAGAAAACAAGCATCCAAAGACTCCACGGGCAGCGACCCTCTCCCCTCGGAAGCGTAGGTTCGCCGACGAACCTCCTCTCATCGGCGCCCGAGCAAGTCCTCGAAGGTTCTAGATGGAAAGGGGCGTGGTGATGCCGGGTTGCGTCATCCGTCGCGGACGGCCTTCGAACCGTCTCGCCCTCTCCCTAGCCTTCGCTGCGTATCGCGCCGACGAAATGATGAGAACTTTCTGGAATCTCGCGCGGAAGGTATTTAATCGAGCAGCCGAGATGAAAGATAAAAAGAAGACGGAAGTTAGCGCCAGAGCGCGTAGGGTATACCGCCGTGTAGTCGGCGAAGGTTTTGTCCGTAGGGACAAAGCAGGAGAAGAAGAGGATTTCCACCTAAGGGGTGAAGGCTTGAGCTAGAGGCAAGAGTGTGTGTCTACCTCTATCGAGCGAAGACACGTGGCAACAGCTACGTGTGTGAAGCCGACGTGTTTCCGGCGAAGAAGTTGGAAGCTTGGAGAGTGGCCAATTGAAGACGCGAGGTTTCCTGGAAGAGAAACTTCGGGGGCAGCGGAACGACAACAACGCTGGACTTTGAGTGAGTGATTCTCGGAAGAGTATCATCCAGACTTTTGTTCCAAGAACTTTGGACTGAATAGGTTTTCTATCTCTTTAGTCTTTAAGTGCCTTGGTTGTTCAATGCATGCGACTGCATTGTAGTGTGTATTGTTGTCTGTGTCTGTTGTATCGAGTGTGGCCGATTGTACTGTGTAGTACGTTGTTTGATTGGTGACATATTGTACTCAACTATTGTGGAGTGTGCATACTTGTGTATTGTTTTCGATTTGCCATTATTGAGAATATAATTTTGTTTGTTTATCAACTCTCGGCTCTGACTTGTTCTTTGGGCCACAGCCGGCGTCCGCTGGCCCGCCGAAAAGGACCACTTCTAAATTGTCCACGCTTTTGTGGTGCGGTTCGGGGGGCCGATACTTCGGCCCTTGGAATTAGCCCGGCGATCACCTCCCGAATCGACGGGACCAGTCACAATTAATCTGGCGTCCGCGACAGGACCTTTTGGTGCACAGTGTGCAAAGTAGTGAGAAAGAGCCTCGAGTTGTTGATAATGCTATCGGAACGATTTTGTGTGTTGTTCAGTGTTCTCGTTACCGAGTGCAGGAGAGTGTTCCGATATACTGATTTAGGCAGATATTTTTTGCACGCGGCAAGGTTTTATTTGCGAGACACAATGGATCTCGAAAAGTTAGTCGCTCTTGGTGAGAAGATGGGTCTTTCTGGCGCCGAACTACGGAAGTGGGTCACCCTGAAGGAAAAAAGGAAAAAGAGAGGGTCAAAGAAGAAAAGGCAGCTGAGCTGGAAAAAGAAAGGTTGGCGGTCGAAAGAGCCAAAGCGGAAAAAGAAGCTGAGTTGGAGAGAGAGAGGTTGGCAGCTGAGAGAGCCAAGGAAGCAAAAGCAGCTGAGTTGGAACGAGAGAGGTTGGCAGCTGAGAGGGCCAAGGAAGAAAAAGCAGCTGAGTTGGAGAGAGAAAGGCTGGCCGCTGAAAGGGCGAAGGAAGAAAGAGAGCAACAATTGAAGTTGGAGTTGGAGAGAGAAAAGTTGGCAGCCGAAAGGGTGAAAGAAGAAAGAGAGGCAAAGGAGCGACAGCTGAAAGAAGAAAGAGAGCAGCAATTGAAGTTGGAGCTGGAGAGAGAAAAGCTGGCCTCTGAGAGGGCAAGAGAAGAAACATAGGCAAAGGAGCGACAGCTGAAAGAAGAAAGAGAGGAAAGGGAACGGCAGCGGCAGCACGAGATGGAACTCGAGCGGCTCCGTTTGCAACAGCTGAGTGAAACTCCCGTCCAAGCTAGAGTTGAAAGCAGCGAACGGGAAGATCATGGCTTCCGCTTGAACCCAAGCAAGCTGCTTGTAGCGTTTGATGAAAGGAAGGACGACCTTGACGCGTACCTTCACCGATTTGAGACGATTGCAAGGAGCCAGAATTGGCCGGAATATCAATGGGCAACTGCTTTGAGTACCTGCTTGAGTGGTGAAGCACTCAGTGTGTACGGCAGGCTGACGCCGACCGATGCAGCCAACTATGCAAAGGTGAAAGCTGCTTTGCTGAAGCGATTTAGATTTACCGTAGAAGGTTTCCGGGACAGGTTTCGGACAGGAAAGCCAGCTGATGGTGAGGCGGCTACGCAGTACGCCGCCCGACTTAGCCATTATTTCGACAGATGGATTGAACTGTCAGGGACAGCGTTGGAGTACAATGAGCTTAGAGAGCTCCTAATTAGAGAACAATTTCTTACTAGTTGCCACCCAAGCCTGTCGCTGTTCTTGAAAGAGAGGAAGGCTGAGTCACTTGAAGGCATGCTTGAATTGGCTGATAAATTCTTGGAAGCGGAAGGTGGAACTAATTTGGCCAAGGTCAAGAAGGAGTGTCCCGAAGATTCGAAAAATTCGGCACCCGAACAAAAGAAGCGTGCACCGGAGAGTGTTCCGCGATGTTTTCTGTGTAACCGAGTAGGTCATCGCGCTAGCAACTGTCGTACTAACTTCACGAGCCCTATGGTAGTAAGATGTTTTAAGTGTGGTCAGACTGGGCACAAAGCAGACGCATGTCGAAACGGAGCGAGTCAAACTCACCAGGTATCCTGTGTGCAAGCGGCACCGAAATCCGGTAATAATGCCGTCACCGATGGATTCGTAGAGTTGAAAAATGGGAAGAAAATTCCTATTGTGGGTGCTGTAATGACAAAACAGCCAACCGGTGTCACGAAGGGAATGCCAACGCAGCCTGGAAAAGTTACGGGCAAGAAGGTTACGGTGTTAAGAGATACCGGCAGCTCCACTGTTATCGTGCGGAGAAATTTGGTACGAGAAAGTGAGTTAACAGGCAAAACGAAACCAGTTTGCCTAATTGACAGTACGGTTCGGATGCTTCCCGAAGCAGAGATTGAGGTTGAAACCCCGTACTTCAGCGGGAAGCTTAACGCTCTATGCATGACGAGCCCCCTGTACGACCTCGTCATCGGAAACATCGACGGGGCGCGAGGGCCGAACGAACCAGAACGTTTGGGGGAAGACCCGAAGATGGAGCCCCCACCGACACAGGGACCGCGAGATACAGCGGAGAAAAATCCCGTGAAGGATCTCACTCGAGCTCAAGGTGAAGCCTGGGCGCAAGAGACAGCGAATGAGAAGATGATCGTGTTGAAGGAGGTCACGTGCTGGGCAGCAGGACTTAAGTCGGCACGACCTCAACCGACCGGCAGTGTGAAGGTGACGGAGTCGGCCAGCCAGGCCAAATATCGGGACATGAACAAGCGGGTGGATAACCGGACAGGATCGGTTGAGCGTCATGACCCGTTAGCAGTGTCGGAAGTGACAACGATGGCTCAGACGGCGCCTCAGATACCGTCGTTGGAAGGAGCTCGCCGGAACAAAACGAGCAAAAACCATAAGAAGAGATCGAGAGAGCTTCGCAAGAAAGGGCGCAAGCGCCGCTCGAAATGCACCGGATAGGTGTCGAGGTCGATTTGAAATGTGTTTGACAGTGCTATATGTTAAGTTAATGTGGTTGTTGTCCTGTGTCACAACTGTATGTCGAGTGAATCAAAATTTTTGTTATGGTGATGTGAGTATAGTATTGTACAATTGTTGTAATGAGAGAACTTTGTACATTTGTATTGTTTGGAATATGTGATGGAGTGTTGTACTCATGTACCTGCGGTTATATTTCATGTGTTGTGAGATTGAATTGTAATGTACAATTGTATTGAGTGATCTAATGTGAATGTGACGCGTCATGAGCGACGGACTATGTTACAGTCTTTGAGAGTGTTGGGACTGTTCGCGCTCGTTTGTGTGGTTTTGAATATTATGAGATAATATTCTTAAAGTGGGGGGCAGTGTCACAAAACGAGCGCTCAAAAAGGGCGCGCCGCCAAATTCTCGCGGTAAAGCGCGGGAGAGACGCCGCGAGGTCAACGATGAAAAAAAGAGAGAAAACAAGCATCCAAAGACTCCCCGGGCGGCGACCCTCTCCCCTCGGAAGCGTAGGTTCGCCGACGAACCTCCTCTCATCGGCGCCCGAGCAAGTCCTCGAAGGTTCTAGATGGAAAGGGGCGTGGTGATGCCGGGTTGCGTCATCCGTCGCGGACGGCCTTCGAACCGTCTCGCCCTCTCCCCAGCCTTCGCTACGTATCGCGCCGACGAAATGATGAGAACTTTCTGGAATCTCGCGCGGAAGGTATTTAATCGAGCAGCCGAGATGAGAGATAAGGAGAAGACGGAAGTTAGCACCAGAGCGCGTAGGGTATACCGCCGTGTAGTCGGCGAAGGTTTTGTCCGTAGGGACAAAGCAGGAGAAGAAGAGGATTTTCACCTGAGGGGTGAAGGCTCGAGCTACAGGCAAGAGTGTGTGTCTACTGCTATCGAGCGAAGACGCGTGGCAACAGCTGCGTGTCTGAAGCCGACGTGTTTCCGGCGAAGAGGTTGGAAGCTTGGAGAGTGGCCAATTGAAGACGCGAAACTTCGGGGGCAGCGGAACGACAACAACGCTGGACTTTGAGTGAGTGATTCTCGGAAGAGTATCATCCAGACTTTTGTTCCAAGAACTTTGGACTGAATAGGTTTTCTATCTCTTTAGTCTTTAAGTGCCTTGGTTGTTCAATGCATGCGACTGCATTGTAGTGTGTATTGTTGTCTGTGTCCGTTGTTTCGAGTGTGGCCGATTGTACTGTGTAGTACGTTGTTTGATTGGTGACATATTGTACTAGACTATTGTGGAGTGTGCATACTTGTGTATTGTTTTTGATCTGCCATTATTGAGAATATAATTTTGTTTGTTTATCAACTCTCGGCTCTGACTTGTTCTTTGGGCCACAGCCGGCGTCCACTGGCGCGCCAAAAAGGACCACTTCTAAATTGTCCACGCTTTCGTGGTGCGGTTAGGGGGTACTTTGGCCCTTGGAATTAGTCCGGTGATCGCCTCCCGAACTAACGGGACCAGTGACACCCGGCCCATTTCTTCTTGATTTCAACTAAGATATCTTTAAACCCGATTTGTTCCCTGACCCACTCTGCTTACTTCTGAGGTTACAGCTATCATTTCCCTTTCCATTCCTCCACTTAAGCTGAATGTGGTCTCTGTTCCGTAAGTGGATACCGGAAAGATCCAGCCATTTAAGTATAGCCATATTTAAACTACCTTGATAGATGTGCTTGTTGCTAACACTGCTAACTACATAACTACACAACAAAATTACAGACCCCACCAGAAAATCCTCAGCCCAACGAATCACAGTTCTTTACCAAGCAAAGAGGCTATTAGAGGTCGTGGAGGCTTAACACGAAGTTTCCTGTTTTTATGTGTATACATGCGCATACCATCGGCGTCATTAGTTCAGAGACCATGCACTGGATATGAGAGAGCTTTGAATTTTTCGGCATTCGGCGATCGAACTGCCTCCTCTACATTACGTTAGCAGGTTACGTTAGCAAGTTTAAGAACGATCCAGTAATCGATAAAGTTTGAGCTCTCTGCATGCCAAGGCAGCGGAAGAATTGGACTTTAAGTGCCGAGCTCTTGAGAAGCTCGGATTTTCGTTCAACCATGCATGTCATGTGGCATGGTCTCACTCACAGCAGAGCGCTCAATACAGGCCATAAGAAGGCTAGCAATTATCGAGCGGGGGTAAATTGAACGAACAAGGCCCGAAGTGTTACATTTATCAGAAATAACGAAAACGTTTTGCTCTAATTAACATACAAAGTTAAACACGTGTTGAAAACATGCAGCTACCGCCAGCGCCACGCCAGAGAGGGCGCCACCAGCTTGCAGAGATGCGCATTGGCAGGCACGAAAACATGACTTTCTGAGTGGTGTGTGGCGCTACGACATATCGAGAACCTATGCCGTGCGCCACGTGCCTTTGTCGTGTGCTTTGAATCTGTTTTGTTGTTGTTGTTGCATCTTCTGTGTGTCTGCGCAGTACACTGTTTGTTCAGCCATTGAAAAAAAAGCAGGCCACTTCTGCACGATGATGAGGAGGATGATCATGAGCGCATGATTTCTCCTCTCACCGGATCTCTACGATGCTGCATGAAAACAACCAAATGGAACTCGCTGCACACGACACGTATCTCAACTGCCGTAACAAGCAGGAAATAAAGCGCATGCAGTAAAAGGTAGCGTGCATGTCCCACAACGAACTTACGAATCTTTTTAACAAGATTGTACTTGTGCCAGAAAAACCTGTGACCACCTGGGTGACGACCAACGCGAACACAACGCCATCTATCGCCAGGTGGTCGTCACCCGAAATGCGGCCTTGGGGCGAGACACGTGCGCCACACGGCGCAGACAACTTTGCAGACCCCCCCCCCCCCCCCCCCCAATCTCTTTACTAGCAACGCAAGAATGAGGGGAAGCTTGCTCACCAAATCGACGTCATTCTCGAGCTGCGTGACGCTGACATAGCTTTCTTCACTTCCGTTGCTTTTCATGGCCAATATCTGTGCGCAAAAAAAAAAAATGTGAGCCTTTTAATCTCGAGGGGTTAGACAAAACCACATTATACAGAACATGTACGCAGCAATTGTATAATGGCTAAACGGATTAGAAAATCAAAGGCGGCCGGCATACGAAGACAATTACATCAAGGGGAGCGTTTAACGCCAAGCGTCCGTAGTCATTAAAGGGACAACAAAGAGAAAAATAATATTTCTTGCGTTAATAAGTTACTCTTTCACTGGAATAAAGGGTAAGGACGCCAACCACGAAGACGAAAAAAGAAGGGGACAGGATAGATCGTTTCACCCTACCAAAATCGCTAGGCCTACCGTGAGAGGACGCTTGGTAAGCTAGAAAATGCACGAATTCGGGCGGTGAATCACACACTCGCACACGAGTCACCATGGTGCCATAGATTTAGACATCGTGTGCTAGTGCCTTCGTAGCTCCTAATGGTAAATAGGAAGTATACTATCCTCCAAGTGGACCAGAAACTTAACGCGCGAAGTTTCAGAACTGTTTTTTGAGCCACTGTGGCCGAAATGCGAATAAAACATTCTGAAATCTGTGGAGTCACGTGCGGATGTTTCAACTCTAAAACTTTGATCTTGACTATCTCTTCTATATATGAAACTGCGATGGTAAAATTAACGACAATTGAATTTTCAGAGCATAATGTATTAGTCTAAACTGGTTAACTGTTTCACTGTAACATCCATTTAACGTCTGACCAAGCCATTGCCTTAAATGAATCGCCACCGCGGTTGTTAATAGAGCCGAATTCTCGCGTACTGCTTTATTCTTTATTCAATCTGTTGTTGGGCGAGTTGGCCCATTGTCTGAAAATGTTCAGAGAATGCCTCATTTCTTGTGCAGGAAGAGATCATACTGAAACAATGAAGTTGTCTATATTCTAATACCACTATTAGTGTGAAAGAGGCGAGTGCAGAAGACAGGTTTAATGTGCCAGGCCTCTTCCCTAACTTACACGCAATTCATTTATTTATTTATTTATTTATTATTTATTATTTATTATTTATTTCTTTATTTATTTATTATTTATTTATTTTCCTTTGCAATCATCCCGGTGAAGCGCAAACAGGCTCTAAAGAGTACGTATTATAAACATTTCCTCATCTCCCGCTAAAGGGAACCATGTGTAGATACGAAGCAGCGGCCACTGCCACTCACACTGGTGGTGACGTAGACGCTGGAGAGAAAACTGGGGAGGCGCAAAGCACGCATTGATAGCCTGGTGTTTTTACTGGAACATGCAAATCGTTGATAATGGGCAATGAGATACAGAAGAATCCGATTGGACACGGAGGCCCGCAGTTCGCCCTTAGTTAACACGCACGCTTCGAATTCTTGTTCGTCAACAACGCACAGGAGAAATCATCCTTCCATCCATCCACTCAAAGAACTCGCTAACAGACGCAGCCTGCGTCGGCGCTACGAGAAAATAGAGGGAAGGGGAAGAAACGGACACCTATAGAGGGGAGAGAAAAGGAGTGAGAGTAGGCTAGTAAAGCCCCTATATGCTGACAGGCGCTGCCTGCTTCGGCATGTCGAGGAGAAAGAGGGGAGCGTAGAAGAGAAGTGAGAGAGGGTGTAAAAGCCACCGGGGGTGCTATTCAGGACACTGCCGAATTCCGCCATATTGTCAAATTTTGTAATGGCGGCCTTTTAAGCCAATCAGAGAAGTCGTAGAAGCTCACTTGGCCAATCAGCATCGATCAATGGCTGAATCTGACACCGTGCCGGAATCCGACAATGTCCTGAATAGGTGGATAGCAAAATCATGGCTCACGCAATGAATTGTGGGCTATGGCGACCGTATGCACCAACTTCCGGTTCGAGACGCCGTGATGCTGCGCGGGCCAGTGCCGACGTTTTTGGCATGTTCCAAGTTGCACTCGTGGTGCCCTTTTCTTACAAATTGCTGCATATTACCTTGGAGTGCTATGCAGCATGGTTGAATAACAAACTCAATCACTACGAAATAGTTATAATGGTGCGAGCAGTCATTTTTTGTTGTTGTTGAAACGGCTTGCACCTCCAGACGCATGCTTGTTGTTTTGCAGCAAATGTTATTATCACGCATGTTTTGTCACATAAAATGATTTTCTGCACATTATAGGATCACGAAATATCCGTTCATTTGTTTTCGCGTTGCTTACGTACCCGTAAAATGATTTATTTACTTTTTGGTTGCAAAGATACCATTTCGGACTCCATGTAGCAAATGGTCGTAGTAATGTGTTCCGAACAATATAAATGAAACGTGCTCGCAGTTCTCCGGCTCTTTTTTTTTTTTGCGGCTTCAAATATCTCTTTAGATGGGGTGTCGTCCGTCACACACTTGAACAATCTTTTTCAATTCATGCAAAATTATCCGCACTCATCGTGCAGTTGTGCAAGATAGCCTTTAAGGCTATGAGTCGGAGTATAACACGACCTATCGGCACTACAAGCTTGCAAGTCTAACATAATAGAGACTCCATACCATGCTACTCGTTTCTTTAAAAGCGACTTCAATCGTTTTACGTTTCTCGATACCATTATTTTATGCACTCACCTGTTTCAATCAATTTGAAAGACAGTTAGCGATTCAGATTGTTCAATAGAAGTATACTATATCGGCACACTTCATTGCGCAAAGTACGCGAACATACGTAGACAACGTACGTATATTGACATATGACAGCATGTGAACCAATGTGTGAGTGATCTTAAATTGGTCTCGGTATGTGTATGCGCTTGAATATACTAAATCAAGGTATATACTAAATCAAGGTATAACTGCGTGTTTCAAAGAATAATCGCACGCTGTGCTCGAACCCCATCTTTCAACGTTCCTCGTTTTTGCCCATGTCCACGTCTCGCTTCGTTATCTGAAATGCTCGAAATATCATCTATTCATTCACACACACAAAAAAAAAACAATTGAACGCAGTAATTGAACGAGTGGCATCAAAAACGTCACAGAATTGCACGTGTTCCGCTCGATTACACTGTGCAGCAGGCACCTTGAAGCAGCAAAGGGATAGGCCTCGAAGCGCAAGTAGCGTAGCAGACGACGCGCCGTTTTGTTATCCACCCATGGCACCCCGGGAAGGAGAGAGAGGGGGAGGGAGCGTAGGCCGGCAGACGCTTTCTGCGTCGGCAATGTGAGACGAGGAAGGGGGAGTGAAGGAGAAGAGGTAGAAGGAGAAGGGACGCGCATGAGCAGTCAGGGTGGTGACGCCGCAACCGGATTAAGCTCGACCATGAGACGCATCGCATCTAAATAACACCAAAATATTCCTTTCAAGCGACCAAGAACGCTTGAGGGCGTTTTTTCTTTTCTTCAATCGTTTACCATATATGTTGAATGAACCCGGGTTCTCCGTATAAGCGAAAAATTCATACAGCATATCCACTGAGTGAAGACGATGAGTGGAGAGAAGCGTTCGTCTGTCCGTCTGTCTGTCCGCCCGTCGCCGCTCCCATCCCACTAAAGCCCGCATCGGACAGACTGACGGAGGTACACTTCGCCCTACTCATCATCATTCACTTCGTGGATAAGCTGTGAATTTTTCGCTTATACGGAGAACCCTATAACAGCGCCATCAATACTCTGTATACTTACACCGTGATACCCTCTAATCGTCAACTTTATACGATAACCACTAACGCCATCTAGTGATATTATTTCCAAGTGGATGGATGGATGGATGGATGGATGGATGGATGGATGGATGGATGGATGGATGGATGGATGGATGGATGGATGGATGGATGGATGGATGGATGGATGAATGGATGGATGGACGGATGGACGGATGGATGGATGGATGGATGTGACTGTACCCTTTAGATCAGGCGGCGGCTAACGCCACCTAGCCGTAATACTTGGTGAACTAACCACTATATAGATTTATCTTTTTTTTCCCTCTTAAGTGAAGTTGAGGACTGGTACTTTGCAGTGAAGGGTTTAATTTTCACTCGTGCCTTCACTTTAGCCACCAATCAGATAACCTTCTAGTTAATTTTACCCTCTTAAAGTCTATTTTGCCCTCCCTGTCCCTAAACCCCAGTTCTTTGAAAAACTCTGCGCCATCATCCTGAACTATAGGGTGAAGCCCTTTACAGAACATTATCAAGTGTTCGGCAGTTTCCTCCTCCTCTCCACACGCACTGCATACCGGGTCTACCCCTTCGTATTTGGCCCGATATGTCTTGGTTCGCAATACTCCCGTCCTGGCCTCAAACAGTAGAGAACTACCCCGAGTATTATCCTAGATCCTTTCCTTGGCAATTTCCTGCTTAAAACTTTGATAGATCTCTAGCGCGGACTTCTTAATCATGCCAATTCTCCACATGTCAGTCTCCGTTTCTTTGACTTTCTTCTTAACCGATAGTTCTTTTTGGTTTGGCCCCCGCTGTTTTCTAAGTATTTACCAGTCAATTTTCTGGTTCGCTTCCTCCATTTTGTATCGACATTCTTCACGTACAAGTAGCTGAAAACCTTCCTAGCCCAACGCTCCTCCCCCATTTCTCTCAATCGCTTCGCAAATCGAATACATTGCACACAAGGATATATACACACAATGCCATCTGGCGAGCAATTCATAATGTAGAGGTAGATACATACGTACAAACTGCAAATGGAGGAGGGAACGAACCAGGCCCTAAAGAGCTTTGCCCCTAAAACAAACGGAAGTACTCACCTCAGCCAAGTTCTGTTCAAACTGTATTATCTCATCCACAGCGCGAACGACTCGTCGTTCTTCTAGGGTGGTCGAGCTGAGCTTGTATGCAACTTCGAGAATGTATGTTTTATAGAAATATGAGGGCAGGTATTCTTTCTTCGTAGGTAGTGATCCAGGACAAATCTGCGAGGAAGGTTTGGCAATGCTGAGTTAACGCTCCGAGTAACTTCTCCCTTCAAAAGGCACCGACCAGTGACCACAGGGAGCTGCGTTGCTCGTGCTCCCCGTTTCAAAGTCGCTGACATTGGCCGCTAGGGGCACGCAGAAAATATAATCGTTCACGCGCCCCCCCGTGCAGCCCGGCTATGGTAGCGTGGCCACAATCCACCCAACGATTCAGAACACGAGACCTGTGCATCGGGTACCATTTTTACTATAGTGAACTAGAATATGATAGTTCACTATAATTCTGACCGACCCCGTCTCAATGTTGCTTTTTTCATCCACCAGGCTATGCGTTTTGGCGCTGCAGTCAGATTAGAAAACTTGACAGCACAGTGCCTTACTTCAGTTAGAACCATTATTGCAATAGCGATCACACCAATGGCAAACGCCAGGCGGTGTCCGCATGACATTTTGCGAGGGGGAGGCATTCGCAGGGGGGAAGGGAGAATGAAGAACAGGAATCACCTGAATATTCTTCCACTGGCACGACATGACCGACATGACCGTCAAGATTAGTCACTACTAATGTGCAACGTGCAAAATTGGCGATGAGGGCCAGTTAACAAAGCAATGCGGGACATAAGCGTGCTAATCGAGCTGTAGTGCTTATTGCTACTGCATAGGCGTCCACAGAGGCGCCCACCCCTCTGGATGACCGTGCTTAAGGCATGGGCAGTATACGATATTCGAAATATACGATATTCGGCATAAGGGTGCACGCCTTTAGCCGGATTATCGATGCATTGGCTGGCAGTCGCCACGTTGCGAGATCACGAACACGAGGGAGTCCGCTCGATCCCCAGCCAGGGCACTCGCTCTTTGATGAAGATGAAATGTGGAAAAGAAAACTGCACCTAAATATAACGAAAGCCTCGGGAGGTCGACGTTAATATCGAATTCCCCACTGCGACCGGCCCTGTATATATATATATGATGGTTGTGGCGCGGACTATATACAGTGGAATTTAGTTGTGTTGACGCTGCAGGTTTAGCTTAACGGGACGGATCGCTGTTTGAGAGAACTGACCAACACGAAGTAGCTGAGTTCCGTCGAGCCATGCCGTGGACGAGCAAAGTAAAAAAGTTTTATCACCTTGTTTACTGTGCTCATTGAGTTCACTTTCCTAGACGATCATCTCAGTCCATGCTCCGTTTAGACGGGCGAATAAATCGTCGGATAATTAAACGACGCAGAATTCCAGAGCGACGTGTTATGGTGAATCGACTGACCGATGTTAGCCTCTACAGTTGACTTAGCATGAATTTATTTATTTATTCGTTTGTGTTTCTGCATTTAACATTCAATAGAGCAATTAGAATGCGGTGGGTTATGTCGGAAGTCGCCTTGGTGCTGAGGGAAAAATAGATACACTGCAGGACATGCTTCTGAGTCTTTCTTCATTGAAACATTTTTTTCTTGCTCTTTCTATCATCCTTTAGTTCCTCCTTTCATTTGTTTCTTTTTTTTCTCTCTCTCTTTCTATTGTTTCCTTGCCTCCGGTTTCCCTCTTTCTATTTCTTTCTGTATACCTTTATTTGATTCTGTTTCTCTTCTTCTTTCTTTTTCCACCTTTATCTCTTTCCTCATTCTTTCCATACTACTATTTACTCTCACCCCAACGCCATGCAAAGCTATGCGCTCTGCTCTGCTCTGCTGACGTGCTTCTATAGCGATTGGTTACGATGTTCGCCAACTGATCGAGGGTACGCTGGTATTCGAATCCCGCCTCGGCAATTATTTCTTTCTGTCCCTTTCTTTTGTTTCTCTCTCTCTCTCCTTGTGTACTTGTTTCCTCGCCAAGCCCGGATGTCGGTCAAATAGATGCCTGCGTTATGAGGGCGAAGCAGGAGACGAAGAAGGCGAGGGATAATGATAATTACTGTTCACGTGTCATGGAGCAATGATCGGCTTAGTGGAAAGCCCATCTCTCAAAAATAAGAAGAAAACTGATTTGCTGTGATTCAGCTTTCACTGTACCGCATATGTCAGAAGACATATCCAGTATTCGGTGTCCATGTACTTTGAATCTTGTATTACTTAGGCCTGTTTCGGAGTTTTCCTGGACTGTTCATGGCCCAGAGACCGTTTAGGAAATGTTACTTAAAGAACCTTTCTTTAACGGAGACGATGTGAACCCTGGGTGAACCTTATGTATTGTTAAAACTACAAGCTGAGTTTCTCAACATTTTGACATATTTTATTTATTTATTTATTATTTCATTCATTGACTGCTACTGGCCGGAATTTTCAGGCCTTAAGCAGGAGTGGATGGGTTATACTGTGTATACAAAATCACTTCAACAATAAAGGATTAACACAACGTCAAAAAAAGTCAACTATTGAGACAAATACGCCACGTGCTACACACAAATATACGAAACATTCTGCATAGCAAAACAAGTAGTGACAAGTTTACAATATGCATTATTCAACACTTTCAATGAAAGAGCGAAAATAAAAAAAAGGCGTCTGTTGAGTGCACTAAATATTTCAACACAAAGAATGTAACTAAAAAAAAAGAAAGCATAAAAAAATTAGGGGACCCTAAAGCTTCGCCTTTGGGAGTTGAACTCGATAGCGACATCTTGTTCCTAGTGCGCACTTCAAACACTTAGGGCATGAAAACTTTTCGAATTTGCTATGCACCCACTACGTGGCCTTAAGAGAATGGGCGCAGTATAGCGTGTGTGCCTTTTGTAGTGGAGACCCTGCTTCCAACCACCGAGCCATTATGATAATCACATATTCTGACGCCTGTTGGCAACGGACGCTTGTACCACGCATTATTGCTGCAATATTTCATGTTGCATTGTGAAGAATATATACAGGACGCGTGTGTTTGTGAAGCATGAGATTTACTTTCACTGCATTTCCAAGCAGAGGAAGTTCTTTTCCCTGTTTTCACAAGCAATGTTCTGTGTACTTTACTGGTGATAATGTCATTCATTAAAGAGAAAAAAAAGAGGCGTGGCCGTGTGGTAGAACATCTGGTCACCACGCTAACAACCCGGGTCCGAGCCCCAATTAAACCCAACCAACCCTGGTTCTGTCCCCACTCTGCTCCACGATTTTAAATGCGAAGCATTTCTTAGCGAACTTCGGCGACATTGAGCGTATGCTATCTACCTAACCGCTTACGTTTGGGTGCTCTCGTGGTCACCCCTTTAACTTGGCGCGAACCAAAATTAGCATGGGAGGGTATGATCAAGACAGGAATAATGTCCCGATCTCGTCACGTACGTCGTCGTACACTTAATTTCCGCCAGACAGTGGTACAGACAAAAGGGCGAGTATGTGCCGCTGGTATGAGGGTATGTGTGCACAAGTGATTGACACTTAGTATCCACCCAGGAACGACGAGAACACACATGGGCAACCTTAACGCGCGAGCGTTAAGAAATACCCGAAAGCGGTAGCATCGACCCGACGAATGCAAAGAATAAATGTCAGGGTTCCAGGTGGAATCAAACCAAAGAATTCTGCGTGGAAATGAAGCATATCACCCGAGAGCTACGCCAGGGGTCGGAACTATTTTTCAAATAGACGCTTATCTTCGTGAAACGTCAGTAGTGGTTGCAGTGCTGCCTACCCAATTTTATAAACATCGCATATGTAGTCTTTTGATACAGCCATCACGTCGGGTTACCGTCAATTGTGGCTGGTTGCCATGCGATGAAATTGATTTATGTAGCATTGTCCAGGGCCATCATCCTAGCGAGTATCAGCGCTTCATATCAGCTTCTGGCGTTGCTAATACGCATGTCCCAGTGGACATCGTTGCGCAAGTGCAAACAACTGGTTATAAAAAAATCTGCAACTCTTCAACATATGTCTATGCGTGCAACATTTGCGCATATATTTAGCGTCATTTCTTGGCGTGTCGCTCAATAAAAATTGCAATATGGTCACTTTCCCTCCGCATGCTTCGCATAACGTCAATTCCCAGGTACGTGTGATCTGCCGAATTTTTATCATATTATTTTATTTACATCGTTCTCGACTTTTTAGTCACGCATAAGATGATGATTTTTCTCTTACAACCAACGACGCCGACGCTGACGCCCACACCTGCATTTCTGCGAAACGAACTCTCTAACGAACTGCGTTAATAATGAAAAGGAAACAAATATGGGTGGCGCTTTTATGACAAGTTGAATACACTACTGGTTATAACGGCACTATCATTTCTCCCTTTGAAGTGCGGTAATGAAAGCGAAAACAGAAGCGCGTTCCACTGTTTCTCTGGGTAGGCGGTTCCAATCTCGGATTGTACGGGGGAAGCTAGAAGGAATTCATGTAAACTTTTGTATCGAACAAAATTTCACCAACCTTTTCTGAGCGGAGAACAACTGTCACCCCTTTTCAGGACCCCGTGCAATAAGATAAGTGCTACGTTAGAAGACACCGAGATAAAAAAAAAGAACTTGAGGCGGTATTAAGGCGAAAGCGTTACATCCCTTGTCGAACGAGAAATTTTACGTCGCCTACAACACGCTCGCGAAAAAAAAAATCATAATCACATGTCGGCGTCACCATACTAAGTCATCATGACGTCACAAACTTCCAAAATTTGTGACATTATGACGTCACTATGACGTCATGATGCCACGTGAAGTGACGCCACCATATGGTCAATAGTGGGCTGCTCATCATGGAGGTGGAGTGTAGCCAGGTGAGGTTTCACGACCGAGAAGAAAAACAAAAGACGGTCTAAGGTAAATAAATAAGGACTTTGGAATTTTTCAACGCACAGGCATGGTTGCTTACGTGTATGACGTTTTTCTTCATGGCGCGATTCCACTTGACGTCGACGTAGACGATTGGCTTGTGGTTAAACGTGGTCATCAGGTCGCCGAGCAGCTTACTCCACAGCGGGATTGTGACGTCACCCGCACCGTTGGGCCACTCTTCGACTCCGATTTTCTGTAACACCCTGTTCCAACCATCCTCGTTGTCCCTGCCTACACCGCTGCCTAAACACCGCAAGAAGATGTCTTGTTATAGCACGGATGAGAGATCGAGAGTGCGACGGAAGTCCGTCTGCTCGGAATGAAGCTTGAAAAACGAAGGCACGACGACCAAATGAAGATTTAAAAAGAAATCAAGTTCCGGCTTTCATACGCGAATTATTTGTTCACAATGCGGCCAGTCGACTAGAAAAGTTACTCAAATAGGTTTCAGCACGTGAAGCAAGCCCGGCTTGTATATCGTACCTCCAGACCATATAGAGGTGCGTGCACAGGGATGGAGGGGAAGAGGATGAGGGGCACTTTTGCCCATAAAACCTAAAAAAGGCGAGCCAAGTCTGCCCTATATACAATGATTCAATTGCACTTGTCTCGTCATTACCTAAAGAACAGGAAGGCCACAGACATTGTTAACTTTAACGGCAGCCAAAAGACCCTGATGCTGCATTCCAAAGAACTGTTTCATTCCCATCTTTACACCCGGTAACAAGCCAAGCGACCAAAGGACGGCCACTAGGAGAAGCACTTCATAGCATCATTTTCATTTCTTTTTCATTCGATGTGAAGGATGTTTTTCGGACTCGACCCGGAAGAGGAGGAAGCACCCCCCCTCCCCGTCTTCCTATAATGGGAAACTCTGGGCACGCTTTTGTGCTCGAGTTACTGAAGTCAATGCAAATAATGGAGATGAAAACCCTCGCTTTACACGCGAAGCTTGAGTCACGTTCGGAAGCGTATTTGAGAATTCTTAAAGAAAACCTTCTCTTTTTTTTATGCACGTAACGTTTCGCAATAAATTGAAATAGAACAAAACGCAATAGGGTGTGATCTGTCCTATCTCATTTTTTCTCCCTGAAACGCATCGCACACAAAAAAGTGTGTCCTTTAGGAATGAAAAAGCAACCAGCCCAAGTGACTACATTAAACAACAATGACCACTACGGCATTAATAATGAAATTCTAGGGTAGTAGGCTGGCATTCGCTATGCTATTTTTCGTCATTCCCTGAGAAGTGCGGTATCCGCTAAACACCTGCAAGGAATTTGGTGCCAATTGTTCATGCAGTGGCTAAGAACGATGAGGAATTATGCCTGAAGTATGTATGCGCCACAGTTAATAGCTGAACAAAAAGAAGCTTTTGTAATGGATTGGAGCATCGGATGACCCACTCGGTACGCTAGTCGCATTGCGCGACGACTGCTTGTTCTTTTGCTGTTTTAAAGCGCTGTATAAGTTGTATTAACGCGATTGCTTTCCCGACATCAAGCCTGCCTACGGCAAGCTTACCAACGAGTCCCAAGCCCCGGCGTGGCTCATTGGTAGAATACTGGTCCGGCACCCAGTAGACACGGGTTCAAGCTCCACAGTATGATTAGTACAGTTTTTTTTTGTGCTAATTTCGCGCGATGTGATTACGGAAACTGGTGGCGGCAGCGGACAACTACGGCGCTGTGTGAGACCAGAGTTGTGATCTCACAACAGCTTTCACTGTAAAAGAACAGGGATACAGAAGGGCCCGCGTCATGTCCTATAGGTTATTGTATTTTCCCGCACTGCTGTTCTTGCGAAATGATTTTAAACAAAAAAAGAACACATAAAAGTACAGCCACAGACCGGTAGTGACATCTTTATGTGGTTTATCCAGCTACAACACGTAGCCCGGTCACAATTCTTCTAAGTACAGGTCATCTTTATATCGCGCGAAATTCACAGAGGGATCGAATGTTGACGATTATGCCCATACTGACGTTCAAAACCTGCGGCTAACAGAGTGTTTCTCAAGTTAACAGCATCTTTGCTGCTCTGCACGTACTCTATTACATCATTCGATAACGGTTAGCATTAACAGGACCCTTGACATTACAAGTGAAAACGTTATTCATGCTTATACTGAGCTTCTAATTTTCGCATATGGAAAACCTTTGTATGTCTGGTTCGTGTTATTTTTATATCCATAAACTAACGCATGTGAGAAAGTCGCAGCCCGGGCTTTCATGCATGGTGTGTCATTTAAAAGAAGAGTGGTTACAAGAGCTTAGTGCGAATTGGCATACAGAAGGTAGAGAATGTACTCAAAGGGATCAACCACTGACCAAAACGTGGGATTGGATCCTGGTCAAAAGAAAATGAAATATATTGACAGATTCCAGCGTCATTTAAAAGTAAGAAAAAAAAACGGTATGACAAGCAGCCTAGCGGAAGAGCTTTGTGCCTGAACTATGGAGTCGATCTCTTTGCTGTGGGTAGTCACGTATACTGTGATGCTGTCGTGCGCGCCATATTTGATCCTCGAAATTATAGCGTGTAATATTATCTATTCTCCCTCTGTTATTTGCTGTTTACGGTGTAAAAGGACTTGCACGGTGAGAAACGGCGTTGTCTTCGCGGAAGCCAGTAAACCATGTCAAGCAGCAGCACAAGCTATCGCGTTGGAACACGAACCACTCTTGTGCTCACTGTCTGTAGCTCGTATTGTCACGTAAGTACCCGAAAACGCTTTCACCTCTTATATAAATACTCTGATTATGATTGTTTCACGTTTACGACGTTAGCATTTCGTGATTAGACAGTCTAATCTGTAAGTTTTTGGTTGCGCTCAAAATATGGTTGTCGGCCCTCTTTAACGAATCACAGTGTACAAGTAAAAAAAAAGCGAATTCATTTTGCTCGTATTGACGAATCCTGACTTGCCGCACGTATAACACTCTTTAAAGATACACGTTACCTCTCTTTGTGAGTCATGCCTCTTGTGTGACTCTCGGAAGAGTCTATGACGATGTCCGAAAAAGAGTGAACGGGCATTTTGAAAGAGGGGTATGTTCGGCAAGTCGGAACTCGCCTAAATGAGTGACCGGTAATATATATTTTGGTGTGATGGATCGCTACCCTCTAAAAAAAAGGAAGATTATGTGTGCGACTCCTCTGGGTGATCGAATCCCGACTACGCGCGTAATGAGACTCTTGAAAGAGGCACGTTAACTCTCTTGTAGGTCACACGACTCTCAGAAGGGAGTTGACGCGTCTGTTTAAAGGGAGTCGCATATACCCTCTAAAAAAAGGAAGATTATGTGTGCCACTCCTCTGGGTGATCGAGTCCCGACTACACGCGTAATGAAACTCTTGAAAGAGGCACGTTAACTCTCTTGTAGGTCACACGACTCTCAGAAGGGAGTTGACGCGTCTGTTTAAAGGGAGTCGTATATGCGGCAAGTCAGGACTTTCTAAAGAAAGTCAAAGGACTCTTACTTGTCTTTTTAAGAGTGTGCATCAACGGACCCAAATCATACGACCCTTAAATACAATTCAAGATTTACCAATGTGTCATGTCACTGTTCTGTACAGTTTGACGCGGCAAAAGCAACACACAAACTTGCGCATCAATTCATGCAATTGTGCAACGAGGCGCCTTACTCACCCCCGAGCATGCAGGCAGAGTGACCCTTGTACAAGGAGCTCAAGATCGGATCAGGGTTTTCGTAGGACCTCGATAGAATATCTGGAAGTCGATGCATTCGAGTTAGCCGCGTTTCGAAGTCCTAAATTAAAGTGATCACACACACAAACACAAGCACGCACGCACACACAGACACACGCGCACAGCTACAGGCAGAAAGCATCTTTAGCTTCTTTGTTTTATCCTACGAGCTTGTGGAATGAGTTGGGGGAAAACACTATACAGCTGTTAATAGAACAAAATGCATTTGCTAAATATCAGGGGTGTAGCCAGTAACTTTTCCGGAAGAGGGAGATGGGGGAGGGATTATTATTATTATTATTATTATTATTATTATTATTATTATTATTATTATTATTATTATTATTATTATTATTATTATTATTATTATTATTATTATCTGGCGTCTTACGTCCCAAAACCACGACATGACTACGAGAGACACCGTAGTGGAGAGAACCGGCAATTTCGACCATGTGGTGTTCTTTAAGGTGCGCTGCCATCGCACAGTACAAGGGCCTCAAACATTACGCCTCCGTCGAAATGCGACCCCCACGGCCGGAATCGAACCCGCGACCTGCGGTTCATAGCCAAGCACCTTTACTGCTGCTCCACCGCGGTAGACGTAAGGGGGAGGAGGGGTCGACCTTATATTTTGTATGATCGTGCGTGCGTTTGTGTGTGTGCGTGTATGCGTATACTCGCGTAATATTGAAGAATTTCGTGGAGGGGAAACCACCCCTCCGCCCCACCCGATTTTCTACGTTAGTATCAAAACGAGCAGCAATTGCGTTCCAGTGTACTCAGTGAATAAGATGTCTGTGAGACAAATAACGGAAACAGCATGGCAACGGAAAGTTCGATGGAAGGAGTTCAACTAGCAATACAACGCTTGCGCGGAGACATATTGTCCAAGGTATATACACCACATACGGTATAAGGAACCACCTCATACATAATTGCACGAAGCTGTCCATCACAAACACTTAATAATAGTTCAGTTTCCAATAAGAAGTATTTTAACATATTTGTCTGAGCTGAACCAACGCAGGCAACCGTTGAAGTAACTTTCGTAATGTAAAGGGGCGCTTGTTCGGATGCCCTTGTATTTTTCTCCCTCTTTCTTCTTTCATTTGCGTGCTTTGTGCATTGCAGGAAAATGTGAGCGACGTTCTCAATTCTATGACCCCAGCAGTACTCAGACAAGTTGGTGAGTTCGTCGTTTGTTTTTATTTTCCACTACTTTTAATTTAGGGTGAGCGTTGCTTTTTTATTTTTCATACTGTAGAACGTATAAAAATGAAGTAGCCCGGGTGCAATGCACAGTAATGATCAATATCGAAAGGAATGGACACCAAATTAGTGTCTGATTAATGATTACTTCTAATATAATTATGCAGATGTGGTGTATATTATGACAAATAATACTTTTCCGATTGAGCATTGAATTGCATGAGCGTGCTTGTGCTTGCCAACTGCGTTTAGCCGTTACGTCTTTCAAAATGTAATGTCACTGTTCCACCTTCTATTGCTTGCGACAGTACATCAGCCTCTTCCCTGCAAGCAAAATAAAACAACATGGAAGGCTCCGCCTTACGTGAGATGTTGTACATCACGGCCTTGTTCAGCGCTTGAAATTGGCCGTACACTGAGGCGTACTTAGGCACCTCTTCTCTCAATGTCCACCCACCGCAGGCAAACTTATAGAAGTTATCGCACGGGTCAACGCTTGTGTTCATGTTTGATTTGACTTCAGCACCTGGAAATCATAATGAACACTGTGTCAGTCATTATGACAATTTGCGCAGGAAACACTACAGACCGTTACGTCATAAGATCCAACACAAGATTCACTCGCTCTCTGAATTTCGTGCCGACCGGTTGTGCCCCCGCGATCTCCGACGACGGCGCAGCTCTGGCCAACTGCGCTTCCCTTACGCCATCTCCTGACGCCGACAAGAGCTCTCGCCGAGTGGTGCCCCGTCCTCGGACTCCTGCGACCGTGTCCATCTTTCCCATCTCCTCGGACTCGACTCCTGCGACCGTGTCCATCTTTCCCATCTCCTCTTTACTTCCGTCGTTCGCTGTACCTGCGCCTCGCTCTCTCCTTCCTCTTTCTCTCTACCCCTTTACCTTTTAATCCTATCATTTTCATCCCTCCTTTACCCCTACCCCTCGTGAGCTACCGTTGAGGTGTCCTCCGCCCTGAGAGACAGTTACGGGGCTCACGATTCTCTTCTTTTCATTTAAAATCACTCACACACAAGATTCTCCTGCAGAACTGCGGTGCGCCTGCCATTCAACTGCATCTGCGGAAACCTGCTGCATCAATTCTGTTGTAACTATAAGTGTACTTGAGTTGCTAATTCAATGCTACGCGTTATAGTAACTAAAAGTTCATCGCCCTACCTACGATACTACGTTTCCTTGAAAAGACATTTCTGATCTTCACTGCGATTTCACAGGAAGCTAAAGTTTTTAGTTCTGAAAGCAGGGAGAGAAACGCGTGTCTGCATGATGAAAATCAACTATAGAAAATCAACCAGTGCATGGCTGTTTCACCAACAATATTTCCTTTCCTAGTTTGTCTTTATGCTCTCCCATAGAGTACCTAGTACTCTGAATCGTTAACCACTTTTTATAAAGACTCAAGTTTTGTCAACTGGGCCTCTTCAAGTGTGAAGTGCACGGGACGGCTTTCGGCTCTCCCATAGTAAAGTACAGTTACCCATTTTTTCTAAACACAGTAGGCTTGGATTTTATTAGCGCGTGAAGCCATTGTTGAACGGACATGTATAAGGATAGCTCTCCCAACGTAGTACTCGAAATCGTTACACATTTTTTTTTTTTACACAACACACAGGCATGCGGTGCAGTCCTACTGTCGGCTGAACCAATGGCCTACCACGCGTCGTCCTTGTGGCGTACTTTTTGTCAACACGGCCTCATCAAGTGTGAGGCAGAAGAAACTGCTCTGTGCTGTCCTATAGTAGAGTACCCGGTACTCTAAATCATTAACCACTTTTTCTAAACGCAGTGTTGCTTCATTAAGTTGGGACTGCATATCGCTCTCCCATAGTAGAATACATCTTGCTCTGAATCATCGTCGAACATTTGTTTTTAACACATCTTTGTTTTTATTGCGATAGCAGTCATGTGGACATCCTCGGCCGATTTCTGTCATTACGTTCATGTCGTCTTATATATATATATATATATATATATATATATATATATATATATATATATATATATATATATATATATATATATATATATATATATATATATATATATATATATATATATATATATATATATATATATATATATATATATATATATATATATATATATATATATATATATATATATATATATATATATATATCGGCTTTGACCGGTGCACCGGTCTGCACTGATGCACGTGCGAGAAACGCTCAACTCGCATTCAACTGTGTTCAACCCTTTTCGTATGATTTCTAAATCTGCCAGCTTTACTTCGTATAACAATCCGATGGGTTACTATTACATTCATTGCTTCGGCCTTGTGCTGAAACCTTTTTTTTTTTTGCATCGTTCCTTTTCATATTGGGACAGCTCAAAGCTCTCCCATAAGAAAGTACATCGCATACTCAAAATCGTCAAATATTTGTTCTAAACACTAACCAGCCCTTCGCGGAGCATAGGGTAGATTAATGTAGACTTCAACAGCTAACGCCACCTCTGACATGCAGTGCCATGTAATGTAGCCAGCCTTGCCTTGAGTGAAATGAGCTTAATGCCCGTGTATGCCAAGTGACAACTCTGAGTTAAACATGGGCACTGAGCTAACAATCGCTAGCTTCACAGTACCTTGGCTAAAAAAGACACTTTTGCTTGTTTCGAGGGAGAGTTTTTGGCAAGGCCCCAGTGGAACCAAGACTGAAATCGGATGTATAGGTAGACAGGGCGTTTAAGCTCCACTAACGTTAATGGAAAACAGCGTCGGGATGCAGCTCATCCTAACCAGTTTTTTTTTTTTCGGATACATGTCTGCTTTCAGTTCCTTTACAGCATCTAGGGAATGTTTTTACAGCTGCGTTAACGTTGCCGGCTATTTGTTGTAGTAACGGTTGCTTGCTTAATTTTTGGGGGACTGGTGGTTAGTAAAACGCCACCGCTTTGAAGATGAAACATGTTTCGAGAAGTGGTTTTTAAATATATTACTTTATCGCACAAGATTCCCCTTAATAAAAAAAAATTCCGGGAAAAGCTGACGCGTTGTCAAATTATATGTCTTATGCTTATTTACGCATATAATCAGCGAACTTTTCACAGTCACCACTGCTGTCGCAATAATTAGTTCTAATTAGTGATTGTCAGCGTAATGAGGCTAAATAAGCATTCCCACCTCTTCTTACACATGCAGGTGTGGTGCAGACATCCGGAGCTGACATTCCTGAGAAAAGAAAAAAAAAAGGTTTCATTCAGAACAAGAATATCAGCATTTATATTAAATCATAACAGTGACCATATATATATATATATATATATATATATATATATATATATATATGATGGTTTTGGGACGTTAAACCCCACATATCAATCAATACAAGATGACTTGTACCTTGTTTCTTAAGTTAAGTGCTCATCAGGGGCGTATAGCAGTTTTTTTTGTTTTTTTAGTAGAAGAGTGGGAAGACGGGGGGGGGGGGGGGGTACACTCTTTAGCTGAAGTGGATTCCAAACAGGCAGACAAAATCAAGCCTCATCTTGGATGGTGTATTCCATGGCAAAAAAAAATGTCGTTGAAGGGGGAGGGCTGTTACCACCTGGCTCCACCACTAGTGCTCATAATCTTTCCAAGGGTCTGATAAGTAATCGATCAATATGTGAGGTTTAACGTCCCAAAACCACCATATGATTATGAGAGACGCCGTAGTGGAGGACTCCGGAAATTTCGAACACGTGGGGTCCCTTAACGTG